CTATCTTGCGTTTAAACGAGGTTTTTATCATTTTTGGTTGTCGAGATCATCGAGTCACAAAACGACAAAAAAGATGCGTACGATCTCAAGTAAAAAAGGAAAAAAAAAAAACTCGCGCCGGACTACAGAAATGCTTCTGCTTCGCATCGCATTAAAAACTCGCGCCCGACTACATGAATGCTGTGCGAAGCACCGCATTAATAATCATGAAAATTAAGTATTTATCTAATGGAAAAAAATATTTCGTTTGAAAGATGATATTCGATTTTCTAACGATATATTCTAGATTAAATCTACTGACAGCGTTTGGACAACGAATAGATGTGAAAAAATGAGAAAATTTAATAGTTGTCCCAGATCTCTAGTCTAACGTTATAATTGATGGTATCAATCAGGTATGCAATCACACTTCCGTATATTGTTTATTCTAATCTAAATAAGTGATACATATTATGATTATTATTTTTGTTCATGCCCGTTTCTTCAAGGAGAACCTTTCTGGTTGTTATTGAAGTACTTCTTTTTAATTTATTTAATGAACCTGCTTTATTTGTCTGAGTACACAGATGGCAAGGATAATCAAGTTTCTAGTTGTTGTTGTTTCTTATGACGACGTTCTGCAAAATACTGTTACATAGAGCAGATAAAAGTCTATTTTGCTAAACATTAGAACCCTAAACTTGTATTAGATTGTAATGTGGACACGGAAAATGAGTCTAATGTAATTGACGTTTCTCGTACAAGTCACAGTTGTGGTTGTATTTATGATAGAATTGGTCGTTTCGTTAGATAATTTTGATATACAAGTTATTTTACTTTTATGATTAATCTGCTAAAATAAACTTTATCTATTCAATACGGTGCCATTTAAAATGTTCACTTGACCTCTTTTAATTCGTGTAAAACTTTTTATCAATCTATTATAACAGTAATTAGTGAATTATGATCTTCCTTTTTTTGAAAATGTTTAAAGATATTAAGAAAAATGGAATAGTTGCAACAGTGCTTTTCTTTCTCTACTGCTCGGTTAACTTAATCATGACTATGAAATTTCTTTTTCTATGTATAAAATAAAATGATATGAGCGTGGTGCATACAAAATTAATATCATTCTCATTTATTTCTACGCATTTTACTTTGAGACTCGTATACGTAGTTTTGCAGTGACATTATTGTTGTTTTTGATTATAATGATTATCAGTATTCATCACGGTTGCCAGCTGTTCAGGTCCCAAATGGGGTACACGTTAGGTACAACTCAGGGGTAAATGGGGTACATTCGTGAGGTACGCAGTTTACATCTTTCACGCTGGCCATCGGCTGCGGAAATCAATTTCGAAAATTATTTTCAATCAGGAAAGGGCATTCTCAGTTTTTCGTTTTACTATAAAGTCTAGCTTTCAAACTGAAATCTTTATTTTCTAATAAATATGTTCACAGTAAAATTTCATTTTGACATACATGCATTCAATTCAATCATAATAAAACAATGCTTACTCAAAGCGAACCTTCTCGATTTATATTTACACTATAACTGTTGCACGCTTTTTTTCGAAACTGTACTTTTGTTGACTTTTAGCACACGTTATCAGTTGCGGTTGTGTTTGAGCAAAAGAAAAAAATCTTTACATGTCATAGAACTATTAAATTTGATTTTCAATTCAGCAGCTATCGTTTCATTCACCGTCAAATTGCGGCTGGCTGTCCATGCACTTTTTCTTTGGCTAACAACGCCTTCAACATATGCATTCGAGCAAGGAATTGAGTACACATAAGAAATAATTTTGTACATTTCAATACACATTGGTTTCGACTTTACATGAAGAAACACCCAAAATTGATATTAAACCGAAATTCCACTTCTCTTTCATGATTTTTGGTCGTCGGTTTGTGAATGAGATTATCTTCATCATGGGGCTCGTTGCATATGTCATTGTTGAATTTTTCATAAGCATGACCATTAGCAGCCAACCAATATAATTGACGCTTCACATCTTTATCAATAGTAAATGCCGGATAAAGAGACAGAAATTTTCTTAGTTTCAACCAAAATATGGATGATAGTAGTCGTAACATTGAAAAATGCAGATGGGGTACAAAATGCGTACGTCAAAGGTACAAAAGGCTCAAATGGGGTACGACTGGCAATTCTGGTATGCATTGACAAATTTTATTGTTATCTTTAATATATTTGGTGACAGTTTATTGACAAACATGGATTGGAACTTATAGAGTTACTACAACATGCAATATCTTCATGTGTTGCTGTGTTAGCGATAGAATTCTTCTAAAGCAAACTATATCAAATACATTATTTGTCGATACAAGTTTAATCGGTGTATGTTTGAGGCAAAGCTCTGTTTCTGACGAAGTACCTTATCCAACTAGTTATTCTATGGGAATATCAATCGATTTCTTTTTCTTAGGGATCACACTAAGTGCCGATAGTAATAGTCTGACTATTACTAATCCCATGGGAGTGTCATGCACAACACTAGCTGTTCGGGAAGCCGCTGTACGATAATTACATCTGTTGTTTCTGCCATTGCTTATAGAAATAAGCTCGCTAACAGCCCTGCCTTCACTACTAGTGATATTGGCATATTGACTACTTCGATAACAACTTCTTGTATCTTCACTACTGCTTATCAGGGTATGATTCCCGAGAGTAACTCATCTAAAAGTAGCTGTGTTCGACGATCTGCTAGCATTACAATGTTGCTGTGTTCGTTTTTAATATATCGTATTAAATATTTGATTGGCATGACTTACCGCTACTTTGACAGTATGGATTTTTTGACAATTGAACGTCGCTTCATTACGCTATAAAGAATACATTACAAATAATTAAAAACAGCGGATAACAGTGATACAAGACAGCTTGAAGACTATTCAGATTTTATTGGGATATTTTCAATTTACAACAGAGAAAAAACATTATAATCATGACAAAAATAAAAGCTCGAATTTAAAGCTGATGTACTCTGATAAAATCAGAGGATTTAGTACGATGATTTACGAATGCACGTTTGTCAATTTACAAAGAATGCAAATGTGCTGACTATAATTTCAGAGTGAAGACTTTAAAAAATGAATAGAATTACAGCATCATTAAAATTCTTGATGGATCATACACGAAAAAGTATTTAAAACTACATTTTGGAAAAAAAAACTTGAACACCACAGATGAGTAGATAATAATTTTGTACATCAATGATTTTAGTTCAAGAATTATTATGCTATCAACATGAAAAGGCATGTCTACATAGTACAATGGAATTATTCAGTCTTAATAGAGGGAAACTATCAACTGAGAATTTCTTCAAGAAAACCTTGTACCGTATTTATATGTAAGGCGCAATGTCATACGAGTGCGAGATCGTCGTTTAAAGTTTGTATTAGTAAATTATGTTAAGCAGAAAATATGTTTATGTATTGGAAAATAAGATGAATACATACTATAAAAAATAAATGGTATCCACTCTCATTTCTACCAGAATTTTCTTGTGCAATATTATCTACAATCTAACTGTATCAATAAGAAAACATTTTGAAATAAGCAGATGAGCAATTTTTAAAACATCTCCATATGCTTATATTTCCTATTGTGATTATAAAAATAGATTATTCGAAATAGATGTAGTGATTCCTGTATATTATTTATTTGATAAATACCACCGGTCATTTTTTTTCGACATTCACTCTTTTCTTAATGCTTCGCGTGCACTAATTTTTAAATCACTGTAGAACGTAACACTATCACTTAGTTTTTTGTGTACTCAAAAAGTGAGTACACTCTACAATCGGTCAGTGTGTCCGGCCGTAGGCACGATAATTTTCGAAAGGAGAGTCAGATCGTGATGAAATTTTTCACACAGTTCAATCTCATGAATATCTCGGTTGAGTTCGAAGATGGGAAGCATCCCTCAAGAAATGGTTGATTTATCGAAAAAATTGTCATTTTTGACCAGACCATCGCTGAGGAGGGGTACAGGGATGTTTTTACAAAAAACAAATTTTTCTCAGAATTATTCACAACATATATAAATCGACTCAGTTTTTAACGCTGATTCCGAATCTGATATTAGTTTTAAACTAAAGCGTAGCTTTCTAACGAAACATCGCCTGAAAAACGTCTCAAAATGCACAAAAACTGCATCCAGAAATCAAATTGCCTAGTTTCTCATGATAATTTTGGTGTTCAGACATTCTAGAATGACTCATATGTCCCATGCACGTTTTGCAGCACACATAACTCTCGGATGAAATCCGAAGTTACCACATTTATTTATTAACATATTATCGATAATTACTTTCTTATAAACAAATAACAAACACAGTAATATGAAAAAAAGCAGATCAATAATTATTTTATCACTGGCATTCAACACAAATATAAATCATTGTTTTTTAATACATGACCAATAAAATGCATTTGATTTATCACCACAATTGAAATTAATGAAGAGAAACACTTGGTCGCTAAGTTTTATTTTTAGCGATAATTTATCTCGTATGTTATTGACCACTATCATTATCTATTTGTGATGCACCTTTAAGAACATACGCCTCTTCAATTGAACTTTGACATACTTGTAAACGTCGTGCAGAGTCTCTCTATAAAAAAAAAGTTGCTTTGAAATCCCGTCTGTTCTTTTCTAGCTTTTGAAAATATTCAACATACGTGATTTCCTTCAATTGTGAAAATATTTTGACCATGAGATTGTTTTGAACGATTCATTGTATCATGTTCCACATTAACTGCTATCTGATTACTTCTTCTCCTCTGTAAAACAAAGTTTAAAAGAAAACTATGATTAAAATAGAATAGGACGAATATAATAAACCTTCTGAAAAATAGATTTCAATTGTTTTGACGAAGAATTATTTTGATAATTTAAACTAAATTGGCTGAATTGAGATAATGTTTGGTTCACTGTTTTGTTAATACGCTGACTAATAACATAATCATATGTTGAAATACCATAATAGCCTAATCAAGAACAAAGTTATAAGAATGTTAAAATAACTAAAGGCATTCCTTTTCACATACATAGATAAATATGAAAGCCAAGAAGATATATAGTTAATCCCCATGTTACGATAGAAACAAATGCGATCAACGAAACCATTACTTGAAAAGCAGCCTTAGATGATGGTATCATTAATATAGCATATCGATCTATGTTTAACAAAAAATAATTCAAATAATAATTATTGAAAATTAGAAAAAGCCTCTATCTATTTGAATCATCTATTCACAAGTTATCCTACATGGGCTTCAATAGAAATGATTGAATGACAATAAATCGATAGAAGTTATTCTTTGAGAAAGTACATTGACAATACACATTCTCTAGTTTTAAGAATAATCGTATAGAAACTAATACGAATGTATTTCAAGCCAATATTTTCGTTTTATGTTATATTCCGTAAGCTAATTTTGTTGGTAATTCTTCGTGAGGAATGAACTCTAGCGTGCATATGTTTCATGATTTCTTGGGTAAAGTGGAATAATTTAGACAAATAAAAATTAGCTCTAGAAAAATTCATTAATTTTGAGAAGGATATGCTTTTACTTTGCACAACCACAACTTCTCTTCAAATATTCTAATCGAAACTCTATACAAGGAAAACAAGTAACTGAATACTTGCAATAATAGAAAGAAAATCATGATCAGTATTCTGCTCAAAACAAAACAATATTTGTTCACGTGAAGAATATTTGAGTCTAATCGTTCATACAGCTTCTCTATGTATTTTTCTGTTATTCAAACTGAAAGATAAGTACAGTCAAACTTATGCCTATATTATTCTGAATAGTTTCAGTTATAGATTCTTGAGAATTTTTTTTTTATCATTCATGTTACACATAATAATCAGTGAATAGGTCATTTTTCAGATATGATTATATATTGACCAGTTGTTTTTTCAATTATTTCCCGTATGAAATGAACTTGAATGTAAAAAATTTTTCAAATGAAAATATTCCTAAAAGATTGAAACGTCAGAATCTATAAGTGACATTCATCATCCAAGCCACTAGATTTTAATTATATTGAAATGTTTTCTTTATACTTCTATGGTTCGAGTGCCACTGTTTCGATGGATAAGAGAATAAGTAAGTACAGTTAAAATTATGAAACGTTAGTTGCTCGTAGCTCAACTTCTGATTGTGAGATGTTTAACTGATTATCAAATGTTTTCAGCAAGACAATTTAGAGATGAAAATTCATAACTTACCAGCACCATAGTAGGGTCTTAGACTAAGCAACGATGACGAATCTTGAAATGAACCAATAAATTGCAGCAAACTGTTCATAAAAAGAAAGAAACTGCCAATAACTACCAGTGATAGCATAAAAAAAAACGTTCGATAATTTTTTCCGCCAACACACGTATTAAGCCAAACACAATGATGATCGAATGAATAAATGCATTTATTACATGATGCGCAATGTTTAGCTTTTGCTGTAACTTGTACATCGCACACATGACAATAAAATTCAGTTATAACATGCGTATGTTTATGACGATTAAAATCAGTTCGTGGTCCACGACTTTTAGTTAATACTTCATCTTCAGCCGGATCAATGTAAGTTAATGCAATAAAAACAATAAGAAGCGGAAGAATAACAATTGAAGAAAGAAAAATATTTAGCCATTGCCATGGTTGTGTTGGAATGTTGACACATAATGTGAAATAATTCATTAGTACAAGAAATGCCAGTACAACAATAGCTATTATTTGAACATAATGAAGAGGTAATGTGTATGCATTTACTCGACGTTCACCAAGAGCTGGCGTACTCGTTGGACCACAACTTATGACTGCCATCCATAAACAGAAACGAGGCAATCTAAAAATAAAATTGGAAAAAAAAGAATTAGTTGTTTTCTGTTTCGATTCGATTTTGAACATTTATTATGAAATCGATGCATATTTACTGTACAAAAATCGAATTAACAGTAGAAAGTAAAAGTGAAGAATGGTTGCATTATGACAAATCCTTAAATCAATAATATGGAGATGTTTTTGAAGACTTATTTTACGTATTCATTCGAACTGTTTTTACAACACTCTTATGTCATGTTACTAAGCTTCATTGCCAATAGCAACCAATCGAGTCAAATCTAGATGTCATCATCATGCAGGACTATTAAATATTATATTGATTTACGCTTTTATGGATCAAATCTTCAAAGTAAGAATTAGTGACGTCACTAGGGTGGGGCCATGTGAGGCTGAGCTACATCGCCGGGCTTTGAGTCCCACCATCCTTGTTTTACTTTATCTATTGAATTCTTGAATTGAATCAGTGAATATCATTTAGAGCACTGAAGTCTGAATTTTGAATCGATGAGAGTGTAAATATTTTCTCCATTGATAGTAATAGGATACCATCTGTTCGTTTCTGTAACTATAAGATATTGAAAGCACTAATCATCATTTTATGTTGTGCGTTTATGAATCACAAATCCTGAGGAAAACTAGCGATAAATTCCAATATTCCATAAAGAGATAAATAAAAAATATGCAACCTTGCTATAATGTTTATGGCCTTGGCTCGGTCAACGAGTACATTGGAAGGAGAGATCGGACTGAGCCCGATCACGTCTAAATTCCTGGTGATGTCACTAGTAAGAATGCTGCTATTAGTAAGTGTTATATGGAAAATCAAACTTTAAATAAGAACTAAGATAAAACTATACTATAGGGAGATTATCACTTCAAAATAAAATCATCATTTGTATTCATGTCGGTCTCACAAAGAGATCTTGATAGTAGAAAACGTATTCGTGAATACGGATGACTCCCTCTTAAATCTTTGAGATTCTCTAACATTATTAGCATATTTATCTTCTGTGCAGGTTTTTCAATAGGAATTTGATAGTTTGAGTGTTTTGGCAAGTTTCCTAATGATTAATCATAAATTCAATGGAGCAATTATCAATCGATACTATACGAATACGAAATTTGTTTTTTATATTTGAATTTAACTGTGCTTGTACAAATTAATATTCGAATCAGAAAGAAGACATTTAAAGAATCTGTTCTATTGTTCATTAAGATTGCACTAAGCTGTAATTTCGACCACCAACATCATTTAGACGATAGTCATATGCGTTACTGTATTCAAACGACAAATACAATATACTGAATGTCTTGTTTAATATAAAATATGTCGAAAATTATTGATCATAAAACAAAATCAACTCTGTGATATTCTAAATATTCAGTTTTTATTCAGTTTTTAAAATAAAAGGTAAATGCAATTATATGTATATATAAATATTTATAATGCATCGAAAAGAGTAGACTAGAATGAGTTATTTGGAGATGATTAAATTTTGACACGCGTAGAATTAGTATGTATGTAACCTAGGCGAAGATAAGCATCAGCACCAATCCTTGATATTTGCTGAAGATTTAAAGAACCGGCAAAAAATTTCGCGTAGAGACGACAAATAGGAAGACCAAATCCATAGCCGTACATTTGCTTCGATCTAGAATGAAAACATTTGTTATTTCACAGTCCATTTCTTTGTTTTTCAAGCTTACGAGTGTACCATACGTTCTTGAAAATCTGATAAAACATCGATTTCTTCTATTTTTCCTTTATTGGCTTCATCTGTTTCCATTACGTTACCTATGAGAAAAAATAATGAGACAAAGAATTCCAATCTGTTTCTTTGTATTTAATTACCAGTAAACATATATCGAAATATTTCATCATAGCTTGCATTAACTCCACCACCTTCATCTTTAATAGCAAACGTAAAGACTTCATCAATAGGATCAGATGAAATAACAACTTTACATAATGGTTTATCACGATTGTCGTCGAAATATTTTTTAACATTTTGTATATTACCAAATGATACTTTATTATATTCAACAATAGCACGCATAGAATTTTTCAATAGTTCCCGTAGAATATATTCTACAATATGTGGAAAAAATGGTATAGGCTCATGTATATTATTTTCTAATTCAATATGTGGTACAACAGTATAGGTTTCAAAACATATTGAAGAAACATCATGAATACATTGTTGAGCTGCTTTGGCAGGTGAAAATTTCATAGAAATAGCGCCACGCCAATCTGAATTCATTTGATTGCTTTTCTGTTGTTTATGTAATTCAAGATAATGTTCAGTAAGTAAACGCATTGAGAGACGTTTATGTAAAACATTATCAAGAAAACCTTTCAGTACTTTATAGGTTTTAAAATATTTTTGTGCTTCATTACAACCAGTTGATAATAATCCAATAACATCATTATTTTGTATAAAGAATCTATTTATAAATTCATAAAATTTTTCTTCATCATTGATTGTTTCAATTTTAGAGAAGCTAGCTAAATTTTCAAAAGCTTTTAAATAACGTTCGTGTAAAGATAATAATGTTGGATTAGCAGCAGGTAAAAATGGGATTGATTGAAAAGAATATAAACAATGTGCTAAGCGTACTAATAATTGATCGCGAAGATCTGATGCTCTTTTGATTAGATCAATGGGTGTCGAATATTGTGGTGAACAAGATTCGATCATATTATTTGGAAAAGTATATTCTATGGGCCGTTGAGAATATTCAATGAGTTCATTTTGAGAAGAAAATTTTGATAGTTGTTTAACTATTCCGGAAAGAATCGGGGGTTGAAAGTTACCAGTAGATGATTTAACTGTTGTTGATAGATAACGATAAAATGACATTTTTTAAATGAATTTATATTGTCTATTTATTATAAATATTTCAGCTTTGCTTCATCAATATTTGCATCTTCTAGTATCTATAAATAAATCAAGAAGTATTTTCCTAAGAGCATATCTCTTGCTTTGATTTACAAGTTTCGATGGATTATATAATCAGAAAAGAAAGAACAAAATCATGAATTGATGATAATCTAAGAACAACAGAATGAATTGATTGAATAATAGAAAAAGTCTGAGCGTAAATATATTATGAGCGAAATCGAAGTTTTTACTGATCCAAAGATTAGGATCATCTGCAGAAAATTTTTACAATGCTATGATATGTATTTGAGAAGTAAATGAATTATGATCTATTTTTGAATCAATAGAAGATTTTGAACGAAAATCTATTTGGTTAAACATTTTATGATTACAAGGTCTCTTGTTGATTTCGATTCAGAACATCATGTCTAAAAAACTCGTACAGAAAAAATGATTCATGTACGAATACCAAATGTGGTAGGCACAGATCGAATCCAACAGCTTTAGAACCAGATGTCGCTAATGCATCAATATATGCTTATAGTACATGCGTTACTGTATGTGAATAAAAAATACCTCTATATAGCTATAATATGTTTCGAGTAAAACAAGCATACGTTTTTGAATTCTCATAAATTGTTCCCAGTGAAAGCTTTTATAGAACATCATAAACGTATAGTACGTTAAGATAAGAATGTCTACATTTATTTGTTTTAAATGATTTAGAAGGAGTGCTTTTAGCGTTAGTGACCTGCCATTTTTAAAGAAACAACGCACAAGAATTAAGCTAAAAACTACTAATAAGCAACTTTCATGGATTACTCAAATTCCTTCGTTCTGCAATTGCTTTGAACGTTTCGTCTTATTTTCATTCTCAAGATAACTAATTATCAGGATTCTCAATGTATATATATTAGAAAAGTCGTTTAGTTTATTGCTCAATATTTAAAAAGAACTATCAGAAAAGTATTCTTTTCTCAAGAAAAAACTGAAGTGCGATATTTTTATTAACTACAGTATATTCAGTCACAGTGGAGTCTATGATAAAATTTAGAAAAAAAGAAAAGACGTCATATTCAGGCATGCGACATTTCGATAATTGAGCCTGGTACGTAATTTCCTCCAGATTGAGAATATCCCATGCCTTCGAATAATTTTCTTGAAGCGTTCCAAGTAAGTTGAATAGCATCTTTGTGACCTATATTGAAATTAGGATTTCCTGTACCGATCTATATATGTAAGGGAAAAAAATCAAATTTCGATACAATTCATGTACATTATCCATAGTAACAAACATACTTGATAATGCTGCATCATCTCAAGTTGTCCAGTTTCTACTGAAAACGATCCATTCAATAGATATTGACCAACATTATCTACGCCACAGCCATTTAGTGTTTTGGTCATTGGATTGAAGACAATTTGTTGTTGAAATGGTCCGAACCACTGATTATATTGATAATATCGATATAGCCATAGGCCGGACACAAAAATGTTCTCAGCTGCTTGATAACCGTTCTGGTTTTCTTTTGCAGGATTCTATACATACAGAATAACAACGACTTCAAAATCTTGTGATCCTGTAAGACATCACTTACCATATAAGGAACTTTATTTGTTTCAATCGATGTTTCTCGATGTTTCCTTTCAATCCGTTGACTACCATCGACTATTCCTGATGGTTTCTGCTGTGGAGGATCTTTCTCAGATTCATCAGCTTCATCCTTAAAGAAGATATTTTTAAAATCATAAATGTCAACAACCAGTTGCAATTTTATATTACCGATTCGATTTTTTCTTCATCGTTTTCATCGTGTGTTTTATTCACCGTCATAATATTTAGTCCAATACCGAAATTAAGATCGTTTGATTATTGAGTAAGTTCACGATTTAAATCTTGAAATTTCTTTTCATACTCTTTGTTGCCCACAATACGCTTAAACCAAGTGGCTTCAATGAAAGTGCTGATATATTCAAGACATTGAAGTAGAAATGTTTCGAAACGATTAAGTGCCTTGTGCATTGCTTCGTTCAAACACTTCGATAGATCTCTTTGAGCTAAAAACCCGATCAGTGTATCAATACGTTCACTCAACTGCTCGCATTGTTTTTTGTTGATCTCAACTCGTTCAGTCGTTTCTCGAATATCAGTCGCAATTTTATAGATATTACTTAATATAGGTAATGACTTTGGGACTGATGTCATTGCTATTGAGAAAGTATCGAACGTGGAAGGTGCATCCATATTGTTGGAATAAGATATTGTGTCAATGTTGTTGTAGTCGAACAAACGGCTGTCTAATCAAATAGTGTACAATATTAAATCAAAGATAAAAGCACATGGTTATTTATGTTTTTATTTACCAATTTTATCTGATGGTTAGATGTTTGTTTTGGTGAGTAAATCATTCATGCTTAGTGATCATTTATTGTATAGTGCAATATTTCATCGTGTATCTAGATAAATATCGTTTTTGTTTCTTAATGTCATATTTTGCCGAGCACGTGATTAGATAGGTAAATTATTTATTGATCATATTCGAGAGCACTTGTCAGTCCAGGTAAGATTTTTGTTTACCTAGTTATACACTGTATCATTCATCGTGCCAAAAGAAAGTAAAATCTATTTTCTTACAGAACGTAGTGTAATAAGAACATTTTCTTAGTAATAATTTTTCGATCGTAATTCAGATTTTTACCAATATGATTTTAGTGATAACTTGGTTCAAGCGAAGATTCATAAATAAACACGGTTACTCTCGGTGTGTTAGTTTCTATATGACAAACTATACGATCACTACCGATTAGTCATTTCTCAAGAAGAAATAGGAAAAAACATACTGAGACTCGTCCTCTAGATGAAAGTCTTACATCATACACGCAATTGAATCGTGAAGTCATCGCTCCAAAGCCAACAATAGGGTTCTCGTTTTTGTAGACTATCGACTTGTTTTCTTGATTGTTCGTTCATGTGATTACATACTTAGGCGTCGGTCTATTGAATTTATAGCAACTTCATCATCTATGTATGATAGTAGCAAAATTAGATTTTCAGACAATAACTTGAAAAATAAATTCACAAAAGTGAATAAGTGTCAGTTATTGTTCCTTTACAGATCATATGTTTATTGAATGAATTTCATGTAACGATATGAGCTGAATAAAAGGCCGGGAAAATGATATCATATAAAAAAAAATGTACAAAAATTATTCAGAATCCGTATATGAAGAAATAGGATTTAACCTTATGCAAATAGTTGGATTTGTAAGTGGAATTTTAATTAAACTTCGCGGCACTTTGAGAGCCTTCAATGGTACAGTCTAAGGATATGGGAATGATCTCCTCAGATGAACGTTTTTGCTTGCTTGATCAGGATAGAGCTGAAGATTGGTTCCTAGTACATGACTTTCTTGCTGAAAAAGTTGCTGCTGATGAACAAGAACGTCTAACTAGGAATAAAGTCCAAAAAAGATCTTTTTTATCGAGAAAAACAAATCGTATTATACTTAAAACTAATTTATTCGCGTTAAAAATACTCCTATACTACAATAATATAATACAAGCGAAGCGTTGAAAAGGCTATCGCTTTTCAAGAGAATATATGCCTGAATAATATTGTCCATATTTTAAATTCGAGAATCATAGCTTGAGTATTCAAGAGCATCGGTGATATATAGTAAGCAATTGCATCATAGCCATGACGCACGTTTATTGGAATGATTTCGAAGCTAATGTAACTATACAAGACGAATGTAATCTTTGAGAAAAGTGGTGACACGACAGTAGTTGAGCGCTCATTAAACAAGTGATTAAAGAATATAAGAAAATAATTTTAGTTGAATGAATCAGATTCACATAAAAAATAGAAGAGAGCTCTTGCTCGTTTAAAAAATACGGTTTACCCCCGATTTGTCCTGATTGGCTCCATTTAAATTTTTCTTAACTCGTTCTATTCCGAATTTGTACCTATCTCAATTCGTTCCATGCTTAATTGGCATATAATTTTTCGGAATGTCGTAATTATCCCCATCTACTGAATGCTAAGTATACTAATCACGATGCTGTATGTCTCGTTGATCTTCCGAAGTACGAAAAAAAAACTTAGAAAATAGCGAACACAAAGAAAAGTGCTTTTATTTCTCTAGTAAACCAAATAACCCATGTTTAAGTTCACACATAGCGAACGTCCAGAGCCTGTGTTGAACTTTAAAGGGCATCAATATACGAAAAAGCAGGAAAATAAAACTGGTCAAGAAAAAGAACAATCAAGAGAGTAATAGCTTTAGTGTAATCTTATTTTACTTTGATAATAAATAGTTCTTTCTCTATAACGTATTATATCATTTTACAGGCAATCAGGGACGAATTGGGGCTAAACCCATTAATGAGCGCTCAACTGTCGGTGTACCAAGAAAAATACTAACAAATCATAATTGCTTTAAAAAAAAACTAAAGAAACATACTGAATGAATCCAACAGGAGAATATGAGCTACTGACAGAGATGGGCAAGTCAGCGTTTTTTCGACTCAAGTCAAGTCAAGTCAGTTTCTGAAAATTTCAAGTCAAATCAAGCCAAGTCATAGCTAAGCCAAAGAAAATTCCAAGTCAAGTCAAGTCAAGTCTGATTTCAAGTCAAGTCAATTTGAGTCATAATTCATTCAAAAAATCATCAGGTGAAGTCATTTTTTGACTTGACTTGCCCATCTTTGATTTATTATTTGTATTTTTCTTCTACATTTCAAATTAGAGTTCAAAAATTCAATTAATAAAAGTTCTCTATACATATAATTTTTGACTTGACTTGAATTTCTCGGTACGACTTGTTGCAAGTCAAGCCAAGTCATTCTGAAAATTTTCAAGTCAAGTCATGACCCATCACTGACTTGAATCAAGTCAAGTCAAGTCATGAGTGTTTACAAGTCAAGTCAAGTCAAGTCATAGTCCATTCAAAAAAATCATCAAGTCAAGTCTGACTTGACTTGACTTGACCCGATTCAAGTCATTTTTTGACTTGACTTGCCCATCTCTGGCTACTGATAAAAAATAGAATACCATGAGCAAACATTTTTTCGCAAATCACGTTGTAAAAAGATCCAAATATTGATTATATAGCCAAGATTACCCTATACAAGAATAACTGGTTCTTCGTATCGAATAATTAAGAGCTGAATTTTACTGAGTTGACCGATGAGCGCGATATTCATCATTGACTAACAGGAAATGTTGATGAATTTTCAATTTCCTATTAGAATTCCTGAACGATCTTCATCGAAGCATGATTGAAATGTCAACTGGATGTCATAAACTGTTTCTCGAGAATTATTTGGATTTGACAGAATGTGATTGCAACAAAGAAAAAACTTATTAGTAACTTGTTAGAGAGATGTACACTTCACAGAAGTTCATCAGCTAATTAATATTGAACTAATGAAAGCGAGCATTACAATTAATTGTCAATCGAACTTCGTCGTAGTCAATACGTCAAAGCCATTAAATAATTTTCTTCGCCACACAGTTATGTTCGCACCACACTTGAGTCTGCTATTGTCAGCACATAGAGAAACTATTCAAGTGTCTTACTCACTGGCGGGTGATAACGAATAATATACAGATGCCTGAAACAAATACTTGCACAACTTGTTAGATTAGTGTTTTGTGAAGCATGTGCCCTACGCAAATATTTTCTCTAAACATTGATAGCATACGATGAATACTGTATAGTTTGATATTTTATTCGATCACTTCTTAAAGAAATACGAGATAACGATCGTTCTGTTATGGATATCACACGATTTGTGACAACATTAGGCTCAATGTATTTTAAATGTCCCAGACGAAAAAGTTTGAGCTCATCAATAATTTACTCATCAAATTGCTTGTTCATGTGTGACTTGATAAGGTTCGCTTGCCATCATTACCTATATATCGCTTACTCTTCGCTCTTGTATAATTATGCATCGGTCATTAACTAATGGCTTACTCTTACGAGACTAAGACTGATTAAATGCTTTTCATACGTTTAACATCAGGATCATTAGATAGTCACTCTCATGATTGTGGTACATTTTTGTGACAAACAATTAAAAAGAAGTGTTAAAGTATATAGGGTGCGTATTTTCACCCGTATTTTTTATCGTGACAGGCATTTCAATTTCTCAGAGATTTCGGTAAGAGCTTTTGTTATTGGGAAAAAAAGATGTGTTTTATGTGTGACGATGAAATTGAATTTCATGGTGCCATTCTTCAATTTTTACGACTGAGCATGCCAATTTGTGGTAGTTGTTGGCCAGCTCGATAAAAACAACCGTTTTCGAGCCTGCTTTGATCAGTATTGACAAGATGCAAGATTGAATCAGCACCCACTTCAGCAGGAGAACCATCGGGAGCATTATTTGTCATATCGGTGGCGCATAATCCTGGACACACGGAAAATGCAAGTATATTTTTGGTATCAAACCATTGACGTGCTTCAATCCGGGTGAGAGAAATAACTGCCGCCTTTGTAACGCTGTAAATTAGATATAATGTTTTTGGATTGTAACCTAGTTCACCAACAGTATTGGTTCCAACAGCTGAGATAAAATCTTCGACAAGACAATCAAGCTGTTCTAAGTTCAATGTCGACGAAGAGTATTTATCTTGAAGATCTTTTGAAGCCTCATACAGTACAATTGGACCACATGCACTACTCACATTGATCACACGGCCATTCTCTCGTATGAGAGGAAGCAAATGTTCATTTAATGTTTTCATACCATAATAGTTAGTCGAAAACATTTTTCGGGCTGTATCAATCGTGAATTCTAGATCTCCAATAGCAGCATTATTGATAACTACATCTAATCGACCGCCATGCTTACATTTGATCTCATCGATCGCAGCTAGAATACTTTCCAATGATGTCACATCTAAATGAAGCACACAGACATTGTTTGGGCAGCCAAGTCGGGTGAGCGCATCTTGTCCTCGTTTTAAATCACGACTACCAAGAAGAATAACAGTATTAGTGAGTGATGAATCTTTCGCGAGCTTTTTCACAACCTCAAAACCTATACCCTTGTTTGCCCCCGTAACAAGAATAATACGTTGTTGACTTGTTAATGACATGCTGAGAGTAAATAGTGATAGCGAAGAAAGAACGAACGCAGCATCTTATCATTAAGCAAATGTGCAGATAAATTTCATCAACATGAGACAACGGCCGTCATGATTAGCCATATTTATGCGTGTCATATACATGTGTGTGCCAGTGGCTGGTACAGCAGCGTTACTTGCACTGGTAAATATTGGTCACTGCAGCGGCATAATAAATGGCAGTCTCTTTATTTTGTCAAATACTCATTCAAAACAGATTCAGAATGTAATAGGTCTATGAAAATTACTCATAAATTGTGGCTATAACTTTAGAACAAAAACAAATTAGTGAAAAGACACTTAAAGGCTCAGCGAACAATGATATTATTTAGTACAGATAGCAGCTGCTTCTAATTTCTTGTTCTGTCGAAAAGAAGAATGGTGAATAAGGCCTAAAATCGACGCATTGATTTTATTTTTGAAATACCACTGTAAAAGCTGCATAGGAAGATAGAAATCAAAACGGTAAATATTTTAGAGCTATTTTTATGTCTATTAGCAGCCGACTCTGTGTCATTTTGAACATTGTTTGTAATAGAATTTATTCGACTAGTCTTGAATACCATTTCCCAAAGACTTCTACCCATATCTGAATTTCGCACGATTAATATTGATTAAAAATGATTTCTAATTCATTTCACTGTCGTAGTTTCTGTTGATTTTGCCACCACTAGATAAGAACATTCATAAAGAGCAACAATCATACCTCGCACTATTAACGTCGTATCCGGGACTCAATAGATTAATCAATCGTTTTTTTTTTCTATGTATCAATTGTCTCATGAGATGATTTTTTCATCGCTAACAATCCTATACGTTTATAGTTGAAAGAAGAAAACACAAATATTATCGACATGAAATAAACTATAGAAATATTGACCGAAGATTTCATAGTCACAACGAAGTATTTTATTTTATTCTGTTAATATGTCAACTTTGTCGAATACGAATCGAAAAACATTCTATCTTCAAGTAAAAGTTGAAAATAATTCTCTAGAAAATTAAGTCTATTTATTGATTTAATCTAATCATAAGCGAACAACATAAGAAAAATATGTGTAGAGAAAGAAATTTATCTGGTTATGTGTATACACAAGAAAAATAAATCGACTTTGTTTAATCAAAATTAGATTCACCCAATGTAACAAGACGTATTGTATGATTTGTTGCTACAATGAAGTTTTCTTCTTCTAATGCTCGTACAGCATCATCGAACATATCACGTGTAATACGTTCATCACTTCGTTCACGCATATCATTAAATACTATATCCTTTTTGATTGGTTCTGTACTCAGTGTTGATTTACGTTCTTTAAGGTAGCGTTTCAATGTTTGAGCAAGATCAGCACGAAGTCGCCGTTCACCAGCACTGATACCTGTTGTTAAAATTGCAACATCGACACGACCTGTTTTAGGATCAACTGCCTACGGAAAATAGAATAAGACGCTGCTGAAATTTTAGAAAGTATAAAATACATACTGCTTGTTTTAAGGCTTCACGATAAAGTCTAGAAAGGCAAACATAATCCATGAAGAAATGAAATCTTCGATCTCGCTTACCGTTTGCCTTCTTCAACGTCGAGTTCTTCGACTTTATCAGAAAGTCGAATCTTGGCATGCGCTTCAGCAAGACGAATCAATGATTCAAGTTGTCGAGGATATGCAGAAACTTGTCCTTTGCCACTGCCAACTTTACGCATTTCAACATATCTAAATATTCAAAAACATTCGAAAATAAAATAATATTACTCTTTCAATTAATTACTAACGAGCTAATAAGAAGTTTTCCAGCAGCTTCAGTTAAATGTGGACTAACAAATGTGCGTGCATACGAAATGTAATCTCGAAGTAGATCAGCATCCTATAAGAGAAATGTATGATATTTTCGTCTGCTTGTTCAAATGAGATAGGAAATTTACCATAGCATCATGTGCACTTTCACCTTCTTTACCATATTGATACCACGAAGCTAAATGTTGTGCTAATCGTCGATCATATGCTTCATCTTGTGGATCAAGTAATAGAAAGATTAAATCAAAGCGTGAAAGTAATGTTGGTGGTAATTGAATATTTTCAATAATTGTTTTCGATTTATTCCATGATGATTCAATGGGATTAGCTGCTGCTAGTACTGATGTTCGAGCGTTCAATGTACATATAATACCAGCTTTAGCTATTGATAATGTTTGTTGTTCCTATGCATACATTATCTTGTTAAATACAATGATAATTACAAAACATTTTTGAACTTACCATAACTTCATGAAGGATTGATCGAGCACTTTCACTCATTTTATCAAATTCATCAATACAACAAATACCATTATCAGCAAGAACTAATGCACCACTAGAATTTTAGAGTATTTTTAATTTATTAAATAATCTATGAAAATATTTCTCTCACGTTTGAAGAACAAGTTGACCAGTTTCAGGATCTTTTGTTACATAAGCTGTAAGACCAACTGCACTTGTACCTTTACCATTAGTATATTGAGCACGTGGTACCAAACGAAAGATATATTGTTGTAATTGTGATTTAGCTGTACCAGGATCACCACACAGTAAAACATTAATTTGTGATCGGCAACTTTTTCTGCCGGCATCAGTAAAAGTTTTTTTTGTTCCACCAAATAATTGTAATAAAATGCCTTTTTTGACATCTTCATGTCCGAAAATGCTTGGAGCTTAAAGCGAAAGAAAAATTCGATTATTCTATATATTGATTATTTTAGAAGCATACCAATTGCATTCGATAGTAATTCATAAATATCAGGTCGTTCCGACAAATTACGAAATTGAGCTAAGCGATCTTTTGAAAATTTTGATGAACTAAATTATGCGAGAAGATTCGTGTGATGAAAGTGAAAAATAGCAATGGCAATCTGTACCTTGCTTCTTCGTCATCATTTGCTGCTTGTTCACCATTTCCACCTTCAGCTGTAAATGTTTTATGACGACGAAAATGAATTACATCAATAAATGTACGATATACAGATCGAACATTTCGTGTTTTAGGATTGATTCGAACTGGTACTGCACGAAATATACCAGTTACTTGTACACTGAATTTAAAAAGGAAGCAATACAGCAAAAATTCATGATCCAAAATCTCGAAAGTCAAGCGTTCATCTCAAAAAAAAAAAATTCTATAGGCAATCATAAATACTAACTTAAGTTTGAAGTAATTTTTCAATCAGATAAATTAAACGAATTGAATACTCTAACTTATTTATTATGGCTGAATCTCAACGTAGAATCAACAGATTCTTTTGCGATGGATGAAAAAACGATGTCGAGCGACTTACCGATCACCAGGTTGTACAGCATCGACAAGATCATTATGTGCCACAACAGTGACTGTTACAGGTGTTTGACCAGCAGGCATTTCATCTACACGAGAAGAAAAAATGATGTGAAATATATTTTTTACCAGCCATTTTCTTACCTGGTGTTTCTTGTAATTTAATAAATTGTTTGTCGGCAAATAATGATCGATTATGAATAAGTTCAAATGAATGTGCTGTATTACATGATGTGCATACTGTTGGTTCAGAAATTCGACCACGATCAATTTCAACTTGAACATGAAAACTACATGTATTACATGAAAAATATGCTGAACGCATTTCAGGCATAATTAATGATGATCGAATAACCATGCCTGTTAGACTGACTAACTTATCGATGTCTAAATTAAATTTTATCATTATTGTTTATTCTATAAGAACATATAGTTTTTCTTCAAACCTTCTGGGTCCAAACAACGCATGTTTCTAAACATATCAACATTATAGGGTCGAACTTGAATTTGATGTGGAAGTGTATCATCTTCATAAATTGTAAAAAACAATTCATTAACAGCAATATCAAATATAGGTATAACTTCTTGAGGATACGCCAGTAATTGATGATACATTATTTTATCGATCTGTTTCATATGTAAACAATCGACGTTAAGAAATGGACGTTCAAGTAAATGAATTTCTTCAAGTTTTTGCATATAATATGGTTTAGCTGGATCAACACCTTCGAGATTTGCTTCTTCAACATTTAAATGAAATTTTTTCAAAAATGATATAAATCGACGTTTACAATCATTAACATGTACATCAGTACCCCAAATAACAACTTGATTATCTGCTGTATTTACATCAATATCACCTTCCTATATTTTTAAAATTTTTATTTATATTTTTTTAAAGAAAATAACTTACTAATTCATCTTGCTCATTAACTAAACGTAATTTTCTTGCACTACCAAGATCCGATCGTACTCGTGATGGTGTTGACATTGGCGTACGACCACTTGGACACATATTACTATGTGCAGGTGACGTTGTAAATGTCATTGGCGAGAAAGGCATTCCTTAAAAATTCATTCATTTCAAATAAACTAAATTTTCGCGAGTAAGAAATAATCAGTCTCTTTTTCTAATACTGTGTATGAGAAAATTATTTCACTACACACATAAGGACAGATTTCGCTACCAATAAGATTTTAATTTATATCTGAGATCTGTAAAAAAAAGTCGTTTCGATATTCAGTCAGATCTTTTTGAATTTTTTCAACATAACAAAATTTTTACATTCTAATCAGAATTCTCAATCAAAGAAATTACGATGTCTCAGCATACTTTCAAAATTATTCGATAAAAGACTTTTTTACAACAACGAACCTCGATTCTTATTTGGAGTGCGGCCTGGTGTAAAAGGCATTTGCAGAACAGAACTTGGTGCTGGGCTCGGAATAGGTTCATCTTCTTGTAATGCTGTTAATGGATTTCGTTTTTTAGCAGCTAAATAAAATACGCAAATAGATTTAATATTCTCTAGTAAAAATATCCTACGTGTTCGTTGTGTTGATCCTGGTGTTTGTTTAGCTGGTGTACGACGTTGTTTCGATGGCGTATCATTGGATTTCAATGGAGTAGTCATCTAGAAATAAAAGACATTTGTTCGATTTTATTTTCATTTTCTGATAAATTATAGTATTGTATTGTCGATTTTATTTTTTCAGATAATATTCGTTTCAAGTTTACGTGTAATAGTAACAAGATGTTCATGCATAAGATTTGTTTGTTCATGAATTGAATCAAGTTTCTGTTGCAAATTAATATTTGTTAATATTGCTGAAAAACGCGATGAATCAATTAATGAAACAATTTGTTTTAATATTAAAATAACTTCATCGTGTAAACGATGATCTAAACAAACAGAATTATTATTATTATTGTTATTTGATTGATTATTATTTGAACGTATTAACATATTTAATTTTAACATATCACTTGAGGAATCATTTAATGGTTTAATTATTTTTTGTTGAATATATATTAAACGTTGAACAATAAATTGAATATTTTGTAAAAGATTATTTATACTATGCATACGTCTATCGGAACTTGTATCCATATGGATTAACAAACGAATAATATCATCTAAATATTCATTGATTGTTTTAGATAAATTAATTATTGATTGAAGATTATTATTTGAACAACATTGTGTTAATGCACATGGAATAAGTGATGGTGCTAGCTTCATTGTGTCGTTTGCTGATGGCATATTAAGTGAGGTTGATGGACAATATGAAAGAAGAAGTTCACCATTTAGCATAGGGTGATTTGCATGAGATTCGAGAAATGCTGTCATATTATGATTATTTGTTGATATATTCATACCATGAATCATTGAAATGTCTGGAGCTATTGCTGGATTACATGATGGAATAGAGGGACCCGTTTTAGAATAGAGATCAAATGGGCACATATCAAGAAAAAAATCGAGTGGAATTAAAGATGATTTAGACATGATTGTTACTTTGAATGAAGAATAGAATAGAATGTTTATATCAAGAATACAAAGTCGTCAATGATGTATAGTTAAAAAAAGACCGCGAACAAAGAACATAATGGAATTAGTTTGTGCGACGAATTTTACTTTTGAAGACTTGTCTTATTCTTTTGATTAATTTTTTTCCTGTAATTATTTAAATAGTTTAACAAAAAATTTCAAGAAAACACAAAAGAGGTCGCACATATACTTCTATACGTTAGATATGTATAATGATATCTGAGAAATAAGTGTATGATTTGAACTTTTATTTTATATACTTTTTGCCGTATTGATAAAAATCTATTTAAAGTATATGATTCATCATTTCGAACTCAAAATGCTATTATAGAAAAAAAAAACTTAAAATTTCTCAAAGTATCGTAAAAATGCTCTAGAGTGATAGAGCTTGAAAATCTGAAAGCTTCTTACGTTTGAATGATCATTAAAATCAATTTGGATCATAGAGAAATTGGTTTTTACTAGGTTGAGCAAAAAATACTGCAATTATACATTCACCCCAGTTGGGGTAAATATGTGAAGATTTTTCTTGTAGTGCTCATTTTGTGAGCTTTTTAATGAATATATGGAATTGAGTCATAAAATTAAGAATAGTTCAGGGTGATAGAAAAGACTTTGAGCTATAGATTGATGAAAAAATAATTGAAAAATGAGGTATTCATTTTTCACAAAATAAGATTTTTGAAACCTATAAAAATTGGTTGGGATTATAATTGCATTTACCTCAACGACATCAACGTGTTTATACATTAGACCCAGCGCAGGGATGAGTGCATACATGAAAAATTGAGCACAAATAATACTCTGTGGATAGCTCTATGCCCAGTATTTTGAGTTGTTTTTTTCATCTATCGATAGTGCAGATACGGAGCTAGGTATCTTGTGAAGAAAATTTTAAAAAATAACGAAAAATGAAAAAGTTATAGGAGTTATGCTGGAATCGACTGTTTTCTATTTTACAATTGCCCCAGGTTACTCTATTACTTTCGAAAAATCTACGCAATAACTGTTTCAAATGTAATTTGTTTAGATATCCATCACTAATTAAAGCGATCTAATAAATTTCTAGACTAACTTTTACTATTGCTTGGAAAAATTCTTCATGTTTAATCCGGCTGAATTGTGTTCATCGCATACCTATTTTTTTGAAATACTCGACACTTTAATCAAATAACAAAAGCGGTTTCCTAAAACTATCAATTAACCTGTGAAAGTTATATGAAGAAGCAAAACAATATCTAACATTTTGAAATTTTATTCCTACTAAGATTATGTCATCTTTATTTCATATATCAAACATTATTAAGAGTCTACTAAATAATTTGTTTGTAATCAAAAACTTAAATATATGAAAAAAAAATTGGTAAAAAAAACAAGCTTTTTAACAAAAATAAAGAACTATGAAACAATGATTTTTTCTTGATTGATGATTGGCGATGAATACATTCAACTCTAAACAAAACAAGATGTTAATAGGGATATTCCAGGTCAACAAATCCTGGCCGGTTCCCGCAGATAAACACTGAAAATTGACGGAACATGGAAACAGCATTCCGATGACTGGATCATGACATCGAATTCCTCATATTTTCGGACGGAAATGGTATGTTTCCTGCGGGGTTTTTCACCGGAAATTCACGGAATACTACTTCAGAAATAATCGTCCAGGGACCAGAAAGATTTTCAGAAAAATTCAAAAAATTACAAAAAAAGACATTACGTGTCGAATACTTTTTCGTAGTCAATACAATACAATCGATCAAATAATATTTGTTCTCTTTTCACTTTGACAAAAAAAATAGCGAAATAGAAGCTGATAAAATAAAACATGATGACATAGGAAATGATTATAGATATGAATGAAATAAAACTCAACCAAAAAGTCAATCTTTCATATAAAACATAAATATATTTATTCATTATGTTTCATTTTGATGCAACTAAATTTTTAAAGTCTTATATTTAATGATAAGGTTTTCAAGTTTAGCGAGAGTTTGTTGATGGCCTATATTCGACTTCATGATGCACTGAAACAGAAAAGTATATTGAAATAATGAAATGGCATCAGCTTATTTTAGAATTATTGAGATCTCAGGGTTATGTTCAATGTTAACCACTAAATCTTCTAATTTTCAACAATCAGCCATTATTACTGAGCACAAAGAAAATGATTCGAATTAATACTCTACTTTTAAAATTCGATGGTCTTACTGCCGAATTGCTTCGCTTTATAAAAAGTACTAACTCTATATTTCAGACATGTAATTATTTCGCCTGTATTTAACATCGGATATGTCGAAGTCCATATATGGCCGTATACGGTCGTAGACTACCGTGCTTGTTTGGTCTGGGAAGATGAATGAACATAGCTACGTCTAGGTCTTTGCTATACACCCAAATCGTAAACGTGTAGAAAAACTCTTTGTATTGGTTCTTTTGAATATTTAGCACACTCTTATAGAATTGTTATTTCAAGTCCATTCATTAAGACAATGTAGAGCAGAAGCAACCTGACAATGACTCTTGAGAAGAATCGAAACTAGTTGTGACTTTCTATTCACATAATATACACACAATCACATCCTCACTAAAAGCATGACTTTTATCCAAATTGACATCCTCATTCAGATAGGACTCATTCCGAATTAGTTTATTCTTGAGTTGTTGTACAAAAAGTAAAGATAAGACCAAGAATGAATTTTTATTTTTCACCGTCAGAACATCATGTCCGTCCTCTCATTACATCAATGGCTTATAATCTGGCATAATACCGGAAAAATTTGCACTTGCTAAGGGACAACCATCACCAGTAATTCCACCTGTTCCCCACCATGTTGGAAAGTTGACATTATTGTTTGTCAATGCAAAAAAGATTAGCAATGCACTTACAACAACGCCACAACTCATTGAAGCCGAAAACACAAATGCGTATCGCTTCCACCAGTCATGTGCATATCGATAGAGTATAAAATTGAATAGAAATCCAACGATGAGCCATGATGTATATTCACCAGGTGGTGCCGTTGGTATGGCGCTAGTGGCAGAAAGCATGATTGGGAAGTGTACGTATTGGAGCCACTTGGTAGCTGGATACTTTTTACGTAAAATCCAAACTGGCACAGGCAAGAATGCACCGATCAGAAAACCGAAAAGCAGTGGCCAATAGACTGAATTTGGACCAAAAATTTTCAGTGGACCTAAAAGAAAAACGAAGAACTACGATTCTATCTTCATTGATGGTTTCTTCTTAGTTAGCAACGAGTAAATATTCGAAAGAAAAATAATCTTCTCTCGACTATTCTCTTATGGTCATTATTTTCGTCATATATCTTTCTTTATGGGCTCATAACAATGGCATATCTAATCAGTTTCTTAACGAGTAAATCTGTCCTAGGTAACCTTGATAAAGAATTATGACTGCTCTCCGTTACCTATAGCACCCCAGATAATCGAAGCCGAATAGAAAGTGGTTGAAATTGGACATCTCCATTCAATATTTTTCTCTGTACAAATATTTGGAATCGTTTCGATGAGATAAATAGCAGTCACAAAATTGACAATACAAGCAACAACAGTGGCAACAATTTGTGTCATAAACATGATACGCGGAGGAATCTAGAAGTGAAAGGTGTTTTTTAAATTATCTCTTTTTCTCTTTGTTGTAGCAGTAGTCCTCACTTTCATATAATGACCAAGTTTTAGATCGGAGAGAAAAAATAAACCTTGAACCTGTGTGATATATGCGTACGTTTTAAATGTAACATTAGCAATGGGATCACCGGGCATGATCACACCAGCTATGAATTCTGTAAGAACATTGAGTCCTATAATCAAGCAATAGAGCACATATACCATTCCTATTAAAACATTTTTACCCATTGTGATATTGGCAACTGCTTGCATGATTGCATTTGGTAGAAGAAAAATAAATCCAATAATCACAGCTACTGAAAAAAAATCAACCATGAGAATAAGAACTAATTACAAGTACTTGAATACATACGAAAAAGCATATACCACGGCATAAATCCACCAACTTGACAAACGATCAATGCGATAGCGAAGCCAACAATGAATACAATTATATACCTGTAACGAAAATTTAACGACAGATTTGAACATGACTATGAAGCATACCACCATTCTGGTGCTTCAGGATATTGAGCCATCAATGTGCCATGAATATCGTCAACAACATCGGATATTGATGAACGAAATCGATTGAAGATATCTTTACCTACAAGTTAGAAAACGCTCAAAATCATTTGTAATTACGTCAAAACTTCTAGTAAAAATACCTTCATTGAGACAAGTATGAACAAGAATGCAAGTAGTACCAGCAAATCCAATAGCATAGTTAAAAGCAAATATAGCTGTTATACGCGGCTGGCCTGAAAGAACTATAATCATAAGTAGTTGAACATAGAAGAAAATCAGTACCGTAAATATTATATGCTGTTTCGTTCAAACGTAGATTAGAATCAAGCACAGCACTAACATTGTATAAGTAACCTTCGATAGTAAAGACTTGATTTGAAACAATTGGCATTGCTTTCGAGTTCCATAGATTCGTATAGTAGGCAGCTGGGGTAATAATCCATACGAGAATAACAAAACCTAGAAGAATATTTAACTGAGCCCTAGACAGTACATATCGTTTATTAATTTTATATCCTATTTTAACATCTTACCAGAACGGAACAACAATGGGAGAATCTAAGAATGATATCCAAGCATTCCAGTCTAATTCGAACGAACCAAGTCCAAGTCCGTTGGCACCAGTCACTTGAGATAGTACAATGTTGGTCGGATCAATACAGCATAGCAATGAAAACAGTGACAGAACCGGACAAATATAACCGGGAATCCAATACCATAAAAATTGAAAGAAAAAGACCATGTAGAAAAAATGGACACGAGACATTCGTCGACTAGTTGTTGTCACGTTAGTTTCGTTATTTTGTCGCTCTTCATTTTCATCGTCGTGCAAAACACGAAACAGTGCACACGTAGGAAGATTACCGGGCCATATCATTGCTGCTGGTCTTACAACGAATTTTCGCATGATACCTGCCATACCATAACCAAGAGTTTGAGATGAGAGGACAAAAAGTAGACTAATAACGTAGCCCACGGTATGCTTGTAGAAAATGCGCTGAATGGTTATGACTTGAATAGCCATTGACGTACCCTAAAGATGCTAATTGAAAATTCGATGGCATGAGATTTTCAATACTTACACTTGCTGCATTGGCCATTATAGAAATAATGCAGTGTTCTTTAACAGAAAATGGACCAGGGTTGAGTGAAAATTGCCATCGTCCACCAAATAGTACGTGTGTTCGTCGAGGTAATACCGAAGCCATTGCTTTCCCCATCGGATATGAGAGAAGTTGGGCAACTATCATGCTGAGAAAAATCGGTATTGTCCGATAAGTGAAAAATTGATTAACAAACGCTAGAATACAAGTAAATAGGAGACCGAGAACACATGAACGAAATGTGAGACAAGGCAGCATTGGGTTATCTTGATTTGAAACATTAGCTGTCACTTCTTCATACGGAGATTCGTCGGCAATGTCTGACAGTTCAATAGTCTCACGTAAATGTGATATTTGCGCTTCATTATCGATGATCGACGATGACTGAGCATTGACAAGTAGAGGTGATGTTTCGGTTGCCTCATCGGCATATCCATTATTCTCTGTCATACTATCAACAATGTTGTATACAATCTTTAATCACGAGCACCTTTTCTTAATGACACAGAAAGGGTTACAAGTTAATTTTTTGCAAACATATGTATTGAAAAATTCTACAATAAAATTGAGGAACTGGTTGTTATTGAAATGTTTCCACCTTGAAATTCTATACGTTGTCGCAACAGCCAACATAAGTAGCAAAACTTAAATATTTTTACTCTACTCAGATCGCTTGATGAGCAACATCATTTGAGCTCCTATTTCGTCCTGTTATAGAGGGGTAGCTTTTCACTCTAATAAATAGCAAAGGAGCTACGCATTTGGGAAGTTTTGATCGAAAAATTGAGTTTCTAGTGAAGTTTTCTCTGCTACAGTACAATTTATAAATACCAGTTTAATTTGACAGTTTTTTTTATTTGAAATTTTTTCAAAGTCAATATCGCAACCAGTAGCCAAAAAATGTTCAATATATCTAAAAAAAAGAAAGAAGAAACAAGAAAAATGAAATATATGAGATATGGTTTCACAAAATTATAATTTTATAATTATAATATAAGCAATAAAATCATTGAGCACAACATTAACTTCAAAATCAAATTCTAAGTAAGACACAAAGAATGTCACATCGCATATTTTCGACACTTTTTATGAAGCTGTAGGGACGTATCGAGAATAACCAAGGCCGAGACTATGAAGACCGAGATCTCTTTCTCGGTACACCATTATGAGGCCGCATTTTATCAAGTGGTTCATTTTTCAAAATAAGTGTATACAGTTCGAGCAAAAGTTCTTTACCTTCAGGCATATAAATAGCGGAATCTAATAATTTTCTCTTCCATGCTTGCATGCCAAGTTTCGCATGTTGTATTGCTGTTTGATAGTCAGTAGTATCTCGGTATGTTTCTGCTAAATTAATATGTACTGTACCAGTGTCGGAATGATTATCTCCAAGTACTCTGATTCTCATTTCCAATGATCTGTTCAAGTGAAGAAACGCTTTTTCATACTCTTTCATTCTACGATACAATTCACCAATATTATTCAGAACCCTTGCGATATCCTCATGATCTTTATTATTGTAAATCTTTTCGTAGAGCTCTAAAACTTTCAATTGATATTCTAAAGCCATTGAAAACTCGTCTTGACATGTGTACACATTGGCTATACCACCCAAGACGAGAATTGTTGTCGGATGTTCTTTACCGACGGCTTTTTCACAAATGGTGAACGATTCATGTAAATAGGTCAATGCTTTTTTGTAATCCTTTCCTGCTTCTCCTATGATGCTACCTAACCTGTGTAATGTTGTTCCTATATCCAAATGTTCAGGTGGTAGAACACGTTTTCTCATTGCTAGAGCATCCATACAATGTTGTTCAGCTTTATCATAGTCTCCACGGAGTTGATACAACCTTGAAAGATACATCTGATGTTTTGCAAAGTCTGGATAATCACCTGGAAGTTGAGCTTTTACCATACAATCATATGCACTAACTAATTCTTCTTGGGCTTCATCGAAGAGATTCTTTGTCATTTGTGCTAGAGCAATATTTGTGTGTAAATTACCCTTAATTTGCCAGTGACCTGAACTGTCATTTGCATCATATAATGCTAAAGATTCTCGATATTTAACAATAGCTGCTTCGTAATCTGCAAAAGTATTATCTAACGAGCCAAGTTTATTTATTATTTCAGCCATTTTTATTGATTCCGAATTCGCTTCTAAATCTCTTGCCTCGTAGTAGTATTTTTTAGCAGTATCATAATCACCTTTAAGAGCGTAGACCCATCCTAAATGGATTCGAAAATCAACCGGATTTATATTATCTCGATCAATGAATCCTTTGAAATACTCAATTGACTTCTCGAATTCGCCCATATCCGTAATAAGATGTCCGAACAGAAGTTCAACACTCAGCCGATCTAATTCTTTTTGATTATAGCGGAGATATTCATTTGCTAACTCATTACCATATGTTGACGTTCGCATGCGAATTGTGTATAGTTGCTTTACTTCATCAAAGTTAACTTGTAAAACTTCAAACGTAGAATCGATATCGAATAGAACTTCCTCTTCTTTGGGAAATTTACTATGTGCACTAATATCAGCAACTATAACATTTCTTTCATCGTCTATGTCTATTTCGAACATAACCGAGACGCCGCTTTCATTTGTGCCACTCGCTTGATTACCAGAGAACTGTTCAGCAACTGCAAGATTCTTTGACGTTGATAAATATCCAAATGTTGACACGAAAGTTCGTTGGCGAACAATGTGTTGTAGTTTATTAAAACTTTCTCTTGGCAAGACAGCTCCATGATAGACGCGCATTGTGGGTAGCAACTGCGGTCGTAATCGACTTAAACTATTTGATAAGTCTCGAATAAACCATCGAGATTTATATAATAAATTGATATCTTGTTTTCGTAGCGCCATATTGATAATGCTCGACAGACCTTCTGAACCGGAATAAAGCCAGATGGCATGAATTGGTTCATAGTATTCCATTTTCTCTAGGAGCTGTTCACGTGCTGTTTTGTTATCGTAGTAGTGCTCTTTAATTATTTCCTTAAAATCATTCATTGCCATTTCTTCATTGTCAGTTGTTAATTTTGCTATTAGACTTTTAAGTAACTGATACCAAATATACGTAGCCAACTCTTTACTTAGATCCCGCATTGAATACTGCCTTGTAATAGCAATCGATGCGGATTTTTTTGCCTTTTCAATCGAACTGATCAAATCCGATTGCCTATCACAAATCGCTAATACTTTTAATGATTTTTCCTTCAAATATTCGTATTTTGCTACGTTCAAACAATAAACAAATAGAAAATGCACTTTATCTAAATGCTCCGATAGCTGAGTCATTTCCTCACAGAATTCCCCAGAGACAATAACAAAGAAGTAAGATGAGTTTTTCTTATTTGATAAATATTCCACGGCACGTATTACATTATCGAAGAAACAGGGTTTATCAGTGGTCACATGCAACTGTAAACTCAAAGGGTCGTTATGATAGTTTCGATCAATCCAAACTAATTCTATATCATCTTTTTGAACGCATTGAATTGAGGAAAAATCGAACGGTTCGTGTAATCGACGAAAAGGGGCAGTAAATTGGTGATTCTCAGAAGATGCCATCAGCAATGCAAGCGGACGATGATAATCACAGAGCTGAAGTAATTTTTTTGCGAATGTATTGTCGACGGAAGAAAAGAAATAATACTAAGAAATATGTTCAAATTTTTTGTTATAGAAAGTTGAATATCTTCAAAAATAAAGTTCATTCCTAAAAATTGATTCGATAATAGTATAGGCACGTAGCGACGGAATGACGAGTTTTTGAGACGTGGCCAAGTTCCCAGGAGTCGGGAACTCTTCGGGAATTAGGAACTCAAAAAAAAAGCGACAACGAGCGACATGAAACCAAGGAGTTCAGGGAAACCAAGGAACACAGGGAGCTCAGGGAACTCAGGGAAACCAAGGAACTCAGGAAACTCAGGGAAGTCAAGGAACCCACGATACAGTGTAAGTGTATGTATCAAGGAAGGTACTAGAAGACACCCACAGCACACCCACACTACACCCAAAATTATGCTTTCTGATTCAATAAAGTCATAGTTTACTGAATGAATCAAATGAAACTATGCTATCTTACTGAAAATAGTCACAAGCAGTTTCTTTCACAGAAATAATACTATGAGCAAAATTAAACTAAAAAACGGCTGACCACATTCGTTGGCAGTAGAAAAAAATTCATTTTCTCACTTTCTTCTGTTTTCTTCTTGGCTTCTTTCGTTCGCAAAGCAATATTATTGCACTTAAAACTCTCAACGGCTCTTGCATTTACATCTATTTAAGCATAGAGCAAACAGAGATGGCTGAAAGCATAGCAATGCTTCACTCCTTCTTTGCATTTTTATCCAATGAAACTTAATAGATGGAAAGTGCGAGTATAATGAATTCCTTTCACCACGACGCTCACTACGAAATAAAATGTTGATAGAGTTGGTTTTCGAAGAAATAGCACTATTATTTTATGAAACTTAATAGAAGTGTTTACTACGCTCGGCAAACTTCGTTTTTAAAAACGATGTGACTAGAAGTGTGAGACGTGGCCAAGTTCCCAGGAGTCGGGAACTCTTCGGGAATTGGGAACTCAAAAAAAGCGACAACGAGCGATGTGAAACCAAGGAACTCAAGCAAACCAAGGAACTCAGGGGCGTCAGGGGCGTCAGGGAATCCGAGGAGCTCAGGGACGCCAGGGACGTCATGGAAGTCAAGATACAGTGTAAGTGTATGTATCAAGGAAGGTAGTAGAAGACACCCACAGCTACACCCATCCACACCCTAACTACACCCGTCCACACCCACACTACACCCATGCACACCCACACTACACTCATCCACACCCATCCACACCCACACTACACCCACACTACATCCACAACACACCCATACTACACCCACACTATATCCATAGCACACCATCACAAATTCCTACTTTCTTCAACCTTTAAAATTACGAAAGCATAATAAGTAATAACTGTAACCTGTTGGAATTCACCCTTAAGCTGGCAATTGAATTGTGTATTTCCATAACTTTACATTTATATATCTATTATATCAACTATCGTTATTATGCATCATGCCGATTAAGTACATAATACCCCAGATACTCATGGTCCAATACAAGCAAATGGAGGAAAGGCTCATACTTCATTCTTATCCTTGTTTTCCCTGAGTTCCTTGTACTCCCTGACTTCCCTGAGTTCCTTGGATTTCCTGAGTTCTCTGAGTTCGTTGGATTCCCTGAGTTCCCGCTGATGCTTCACGTGTTGTGGTTTCGCATCGCTCGTTGTCACTTATTTCTTTTTTAGTTCCCAATTCCCAACAAATCCCCGACTCCTGGGAACTTAGACACTGCAGTTTTCAAGAAATATCAATCGGACAGATCAGATGGCGTCATTTAGGAAAACTGGATCGCATCAGCCCTGTTACTATGAAATAGAGAAACTTGCAAAGTTTATCATCAGTGTGTTATAACGAGCTAGTTAACTATTGAGTCGAAGGAAGAAACCATCCATAAGGGTACTTTTCGGACTTGCCCCTAAATTACATAGACATAGGATGGAGCCGCAAATTTCCCATAAGTTCTATTCTTAAAAAATACTATCAACTCACCAACATCTACCGCTTCTAAATACGATTAAAAAACTTTCAAAGTCGACTTTCTTATTCAAGCTGAAAAATTAAGCGAAGAAGTAAAGTATCAGAAACAGTAAAATAAGTATACCCACACCCACACCCTCGTTTAAGTTAGGAGACATTTTTTTATTATTTCAATTACTTTTTTTTTTCTTTAAATCTATTGAATAGCTTTATGGATAGTCGTAGTAAAACACAAAGAGATCATATATCTACTGTGAGTATGCTTTCTTGTTAAACATTATGGCAGCATCATTTTTCAAAATGTCGAAAAGGCTCCATCTTTTTTTTAATTTATTTATCAGTTATGTCACGATATGGGTGTTTTTATTATAAATAAATCTTTCTTGCGAAGTAATGCCGCCTAGCTTTAGCATCAGACTTTTACACGCTTCAGTTTTCATGCTACATACATAGTAGTCGCATTATATAATTATTTAAAATGTACTCAGAATGATTTCATATATCATGATTAAGCGGAAGTTAGCAAGCTATTAATCAAATTGAAACTTTGATTGCCATTTGGTTTTTTTAATATCGAAAATTCGTATCCAGAAAACATAATAAAATATAGTTGTGAATGATGTAAAATCGACATCAAATGCGTCATCGTTGCTTGCAAGTATGTCAAAAAGTGAAGATAGTAGGAGATAAGATAAGCAATTATTAACAAAACGGGCCCCATGAAACCGACTGATGATTGACGATCACACAAAAATGAAAACTAATGTTTTAATACACTGTTCGATCATTGAAATAATTACTATAGAAATTATTGTTGAATTTTTCGTTCATAACATTGAAATATTTCTCAAAACTTTATCGAACTTCTATTATTTGGATTTGTGACAATAACGATAATGTATTATGGTAATACTCATCTAATATTAATCGGACAAATTTTTCTGTTGAACTATGTAGCATTATGTGTTCAAGACAAGGGGGAAAAAGCTGATTTAAATCACAGTAAAACTCAACTTACAGTCAATATAAATTAACTGTATTGGAATGAGTTTGCGTGAGTTTCGGTGCCTTTGAATGATTTTCAGTAATAATTTATGATTTGGAAAAGTTTTTAGCTAGTTTAGCAAATTTTTCGTTTTCTCAAACTCATTTTAAATCAGCTAAACTCAGAAAAATCATGAACCTCATAAATCTCTTTTTCCCCCTTGGTTCAAGACCAATATGATGTGATGAAGTTATTTCAAAAAGTGACTATTCTACTGTAAACTACAATCAACATTGAAACTTTATTGCTCAACAACATGAAAAATTGATTATTAATCTTTCTTTTAATTTGAAGCTTTGTTTTTTCGAATCTCTTTGTGCATGATCTATCTAATGTTAATCTATTATGAAAGATAAGAAAAGCCAATCTACAGTGTTACGCATCATAATTAAAATCAGCAAAATAGAAAAAAAAAGAATGAAAAAAATTTTATTTTTTATTTTTTGTTTCTTTCAATTCATTGACCATTGCTTCAGATAATTTAAATTTTTGAACTTTTCCAGTTGGTGTCATTATAAATTTATCAACGAATCGAATATGTTTTGGTATTTTAAAAAATGCTAATTTGTCTGCAAGAAATTTTGTAATATCTTCTGGTTGACACGGAGCTGCATTTGGTTTTAATTTAATCCATGTACATACTTCTTCACCATAACGTTCATCAGGAATGGAAAATACTTGTGCTTCAGCAACACTTGGATGTTCAATTATTGTATTTTCAAGTTCAATTGGATAGATATTAATACCACCACGAATAATCATTTCTTTTTGACGCCCAACAAAATAAAGGTAGCCATCTTCATCCATAGTTCCTATATCACCTGTTCGAAGCCAGCCTGATGGCGTTAGTGCTTCGCGTGTTTTTTCTGGATCATTATAGTATCCAGGCGTAATAGAATACCCTCGTGCCCAAATCTCACCTTGTCGTCCAATAGGCATGGCGATTCCTTCTTGATCAGCAATTTTGACTTCTAAACGTTGCATACATCGTCCCAATGATCCTAATCGACGTTTTGGATCTTTGTCACCGGCCCACATACCACTTGTGAGTAAGGCAGAATTTTCTGTTAGTCCATAGCCTTGAGAAGCACGTTTAATCGGAATTTCAGTTTCTAATTGACGTAAAAAGTCAATGTGCATAGGACTTGCACCAAGTGCAGCATACTCTAATGAACTTAAATCATATTTTTTTTTGTCGGGATGTGTTAAAATATCTCGAAAGATAATTGGAGCGCCAATAAGTGCCGTGCATTTCTCTTCATGAATAGCTTGCATAGTTGAAACTGTATCGGGTAAAATAGCAGGAAAAATAATTTTGCATTTTGCTACAGCAGCATTCAGTAAACCAACGACTTCGGCAAACATGTGAAACATTGGAATAGGAACACAAAGACTAGTAAAATAAGGTCCAAGATGTTCCCATTGAGCACGTACTATATTGAGCATACCGAAATTGGTTACGGTCGCTGCTTTTGGTTGACCTGTTGTACCTGATGTATAAAATATTGCAACAGGAGAATCAACATTGACAGATGCTTGCCGTTCATTTAATTTACTATGTGATAATTTAGCACCACGTTCAAGTAAATCATTATAAGAATGAGTTCCTGGCACAGACGGTTGTTTACCAGTTAGTATAACATGTTTCAATGTTGGTAATACTTTTGATGAAAGCTCACGCCCTATTGTATGGTGATCAAGTTCTGGTACAAGTCGACGAAATATTGATAATGACTCAATGACTTTAACTGCTGGTGGAAGAATAATACCTTTACAACCAACTTTGTTTATACAATATTCAAGTTCACGTCCAACATACGCTGGATTAATATTCACCTAAGATAATTATCATTGAAAATATTTTGAAAAACTAATAGTAAAACTCTACTTTGATAAGACCCAATTTTGAAGCAGCAAATGTCATAGCAACATTTTCTGATGTATTTGGTAACCAAACAGCAAATCGGTCACCTTTTTCGAAACCTAATTCAATGAAGGATGCAGCTAAACTATCGACTTCATTTTTGAATGATTTGAATGTATACCGTTTTTGTTCACCTAAAATTTATCGTATTAAGGTCAAGTTGATAATGTTTGATCTAGGTACTTTTAAAAACATAACATTCATGATCAGGATGTTGAGCAGCTGTGTCATCAAAACTTTGAGCTAGTGTTTTATAGACAAGTGGAAGTGATGAAGCATGATGAAAATAACTAGAAGTTAATTTTGTTGATGGTATTGTGGAGTTATTTCGTTTTTTTATTTGAAATATAATCCAAGTTGTTTGTGGACGCGTAACAAAATGCTTGGTGTTGCTAATAAGCATGTTTTCATAGAATAAAAATATGAAATGTCAACCAGTTTTTCTACTGACCAGACAAAAATATGCTATCACCAACTAAGAAACACTCTTCTCCTCTCGATTCTTGTGTTGTTTCGTACTATCTATGCCTGCTGACTTAATCTAAAAATAAATATGAAAAAAAGAGAACGATATAAATAAGTGGTAAACTATGGATCCCGAGAATCATATCGTTATCGTTTGATAAAAGCATGTTAAAACAGCGACATAGGCCCCATTCACACTGCAAAAAATAAAAAAAATAAAGTAACGTAATTGGCTAATTCACACTCAAGTCATCCTTTTGAGACGACTTAGTGGTGTGGTGTGGTTAATTCTGTTTTATCTTTTTGGTGTGAATGGGGCCATAGCTGACTGCTCATGTGGGTTTGATAAAGATTAGAATTTTCCTTTTTTTTTTCATAGTTTTATTAGAATAAAAAAACAGTGTATTAGTTTACAAAAAAAACACGGACAACGAAATTATGAAATCTCATTTAGTTATATCTTGTTAATAGTAAAGATTTGTGTTATTCATTTGCAGCTGTTGATGCTAGTCAATAGCTGGAATAAAAATAAAGGATGATTAAAAAGATAAAAGAAATAATGAATTCGGTCTGATAAAATTAAGAAAATAGCCAAAATCAACAAGTCGTAAAATAAGTAAATCTATTAATAATATACTGGAATATTTGAACTTATTAATAATAATAATAATAATAATAATTTCTAGTGAGAATAAATGGCCCGATTGATTATTTTCGTTTCTATAAAAGATTTTAAAAAAAAGTGTCTCGTTTTCTATCATTGATAAGATACCTCCTGTCGACTCTTATAGGCAAGACTAAGTATATTAAGTTCTTCACAGAATGCTTCATATCGATAAGCTATTCGAATTGCTGGTACATTCGTTCGACGAATATCATTACCTACCACACCAGGTTCTTGATAGTTCGAACCCAGCCAATACATTTTAACCTAAATAATAATAATAGAATATAAATTAAAGAAAAATTTTAAACATTTTCTTAGACATACTTCATGAGAAAAACCACTCATTAAAACAGAATTTCGTGCTAATTCGCACATATCCACTGATGATAATTTCCATACTTGAGCAGCTATTGAATATTCTTCCATTAATGGTTCCTAAAAATTTCATTCAAATGATATTTGATTTTGCTAATTGAAAAGTTGTGCTGCCATATTTTAAAAAAAAGTAATTCTAGTAAATATGAGTAAAGTTGATAGAGCTACTCGTTACTTTAGACACACATGATATTTTTACAAGCAGAGTTTACCTAATACAACTATTGACTAGAGACTTTTCAGGCAACATATATATTCCTATTGCACTAGCTAGAACTTTCAATAGAGAATTAGCAGGTTTTCGTTAATGAATCCTTTTTTCAATCACTAAGTTCATTCTTGTCGAACGCAAACGCTCTATCTTTAAAGTGAATGTTAAAAAAATGAACCTTTGTAAAATGAAATTGCATTGGATCATCTGTTGACAACGACACACAAAGACCACGTTCGAAATATTCCAACATTGGATTACGATTATAATTAATAAACAATGAATTATTACTCAATGGTGACATAGCAATGCCAATTTGGCATAAATAAAATAAATATTGTAAGACTGGCGACTAAAATATAAATCGAACTGAAAAAATTAATCTCGAAGAAGAAATTACTTTGCGCAACAATAATCCATGAGAAATATTTTCCGCAACCATATATGCTGTAACAAGATGAGATACAGTACCTGCTTCGCCACAATGTGGACGAAATTGATATGTATTTAAACCACGTTCTCTGTAAAAACAAAACGAAAGAATCATATTAAACCAATTTAATTAATTTAACTTCATACTTTCGAAGTTGATTCAACGTAAGAATATTTGCATACATATAAAACTAGAAGTATTCTAAATAGTATATCGAATGTTTTGCTAAAATCTTTTATATACTAAATAATAAGCATAAGGCGGATTCTCTTTTGTATTCCACTCATCGGGATATGGCATATCAGGTGTAATAACGGGTTTTTCAGGTTTTGTTTCATCATCAACTGAATCAAAGCCAGTTAGATGATACATAAAACGAAATAAATCTGGATGTGATGCAGGATCAATCGTAGCTTCAAATAATGGTTGAAATAAATTTGCTAAAAATTCTTGAAAATTTTTTGTTATCCCATTTGCATAATAAACATCGCTGAAAGAAATATTTTTTTTTCAACCGTGAAAATTTTGCTAACTAACGAAACATACTAAAGACGAGGTATTTGTACCATCCAAACAATATTAGCCGAATACATTGTATTTCTAACGCACCATTTAGCTAATTTATCCCATTCATCAATACTTTTACCGTAGATTGATAGACGAGGTTCAGCATGTTGATATTTACTCTCTTCTAAATCAAAGATAACTTCCTGCAGGAGAAAGTACAGATGATAGTTAGTTTATTGTGCTTAGAAGAAAAAAAATGAAAACATCACTTTTAATAGATCAGCAAAAAATACACCATCAACAAAATTATCAGTTTTAAGGAAGATTTCTCTACAGAATAAGAAAATAAATATGAAATCAGTAGAATTATGTTACTTACCGTAATGTACTTTGACCAATAGGATTGTATTTTGCATTAAACCGATCAAAACGTTGAAAAGTATTTCGGTCCTAAAATTTAACATTATGTATGGATATCTAGAATATTTGTCTACGCCACGAGTAAAGGTTCAAGGTCAAGATATTAACTAGTAATTAGCCGTTATGAGTTAAACTTTTTAATGTTGAAGTTTCTATTAAAACTCTGTAGACCGATTGAATTTTTTCAATATGGCTATTCATAAGTAGAATCTCATACAGGACTACATGCTGTCGAAAAAATATTGTCTGTGTTGCTTTTTCTTCACTTTATCATCAGAGAAAGAATTAGAATCCTTAGCATATGAGCTTTAACGTTGTCAGCACATACTATTTAAAATTCTGATAGGTTTCACGTGAAACTCTAAAAAATACCCATTAACGAATATGTAAATTCAAAATAAAGTAGCTGCAGTAACTATGATACATTAAATTGAAGAGATTGCCCGCATTGATTCATTTATTATTATATTCAAGGTTTATAACCGAAAGCCTTCTTTTACATACAAATGACTAATATCATCTATTTCTATTTGTCTTAGGTACACTGCTTGGTCTTCATATTTGCGTAGTTCATGCAAATATAGAAATCAATCGAAATATGAAATCATGACTCGAACGATTTTTTCTTATTTCACCGAATAATTTTCCATATATCGTCATGAGAATTGTTCTAGTTTTTGAAAATTTATTTTCTTCTTATTCACTTACGGCATGAACACCAAGTATATCGACACTTAAATCATAAGCTGTAATTTTTAATTCATCAAATACTTCTTTCAATGTCATAATTCTTCCATCCTTGGTTTTATAGACTTGCATCGCACCTGATGTTTTCATTTTTTTCTTCATAAATCGTAATAAATGTTTTTGATTCATTGATGATGCTGCATGAATATGTGTATCAACTTTTCTAACATTATAAAAATCTCTATGTGGAGTTGATCGAATCGCTGTCCATTCTTTAACTTCATTAAGTAGACCATGTAATTCAAATTTAGCTTTTAGATATTGTAAACGACGATAACAAAAAGATTTCAATGGACCATCCATAATCATTCTCGATAGGAGTGTATAATCTTCCATGAACTCATCACGATCAACAGATTGATAATCAGAAGGTATCCATTCTTTTTTTTCATCAAGCATATATACACAATAAATACCCTTTTGCGGCTTAACACAAATATCAATCGATGGTAGCAATGGAATGTTGAATGCATCTTCACGTTTAATAACTGATGGACGATACAGCTCAGGTTCTCCTAATTTAAGAAAGAATATCTTTATAATTTGCTTATTCAAGTTTTCAAAAGAGAATAAAATTCACTATGTCAAATTTTCGGGCTTCTATTTTTATAGCATTGAGAAGCAGAAATAAAATTTTAAATACCATATTTAGTTTCATTAGTGTTATGGGTGTTATTAGATTTTAACAGCTGTATTTTTGCGTGCAAACATTCAAATTCATCAAGTTGTTCAAGTGGTGCTCGAGTAGTAAGAGAAATAAAATGTCTATTGAGACAAGCTTCTAAATAAAAAGAAGATATCACTACACACAAGAGCAAATCGATGATTATAAAAATGTGTGAGCAAGAAGAATATTAAGCAAAAGCCAATATTATTAAAAAAAGAAAATTAGCAATAAATTCGAACCAGTAGTTGGTCGATTAACACTGAATGATGTACGACGAGATTGATCTTCTGATTCTAATGTTTTACTTAGAAAATTCGCAACTTTAGGCGGAAATGATTGTAGACTGAAAAACATATATCTTTGGAAAAGCAAAAAACAAAACAATTTCAAATAGACAAAAATACATTTCAAAACAAGAAATGAATTACTTTTCACGAATAACTAATGCACGAAGTAATGGAGCAACAGAATCTTCCAAATCTTCAATATGCGACATGTCATGAAAATCACCAGCTATTTTTATTCGTTGAAATGCTTCATTCAGACTTGTTTTATCATGGCTTAATGAGCTTGTCAAAAATGACTGTTGATGATGATATTCACATGCACTATTCATTTCATCTGTTGGTTCAGGACTTTTGGTCGGTCTGAATGCATTCTGAAAATTTGTCGTTAAATCAACGACAGATTCTTGACCAGTATTTCGATCATGAGCCGCTCTACTTGGGCGAAGAAAGATTAAATTTAATGATTTGCAGAGAAAAAATTTCCTAACCGATTTTTTACAGCACGTTGAAGTTCATCATGGAATCGACTAGCTATTTCCATTGGCATTTCGGTTTCTAATGTTTCAAGTGCTAATGAATCACTAAGATGAACATTACTACGTCTACTAAGTTCAGAAGAAACGTCATTGAGTGATGGAATAACTTCCGGATGAAGAACATGATTGGGATAGACAGGAGGTTTATGAACTAAAATAAATCGATAAAGTTCTAATTGATTTTTATTAACATACAATTTTACTTTTTCCTGATTGTGGTTCATGGAGTTGTTGCCATGCATCATTTGAAAATTGAGTGTGAAAAAGATTTCGAGCATCAAAAAGCGTTTGTTGATTCCATTCGGGACTCAAAATTGATGTTGGTCGAATACCAGCTGTAATCTCTTCATTAGAGTCCGTAGATTTTGTACTCATTATTATGATTAACTATATTTGAAAACAATAATAGTTTGCGCAGTATGGCTATATAAAAATGCGATGAACCGAATCAAACGTGGAAAAGCTTTTCCTTGATGAAAAAAGTCGTTTAGAAATACGCAAAAAAATATACAAGTCAAACTGACTGCGTGAAAAGAGAAAAAGAAAGCGTCACTTTAATATGAGAATAAGCAAAAAAGAAGAATAAGAAAACGCTATAGAATTTTTTGAAAACATTCTTGAATGCAATCGTTCTTTCATTTTCTTTTGAATGTAATGATTAATACTTTTTATTTGCAGCATGTAATTTTCTACTATTTAGTTGAAAGCGATACTTGTAAGTGCGCACAATTTATTTGTTTCCTGTTTAGTTGCTCAGACATTCATTATTTGTTCTTACACTTTTTTCCTCTATGCCTACCAGAAAAAAAAAGAATTGAATAGTGCTAGACATGAATTATACGTATATATTTTTCTTTTGCCCGGTTAGTCAGTATTGCCATTGGTTTGCAAGTTAACTTACGATAAATGTATAATTGCCTGAAAAGAATGTATATTAAACAAATTAAAAAGAAACGATATATATATTGGTTTAAAATATTTATTTAACTGGTTTGCAGGCGCATTTCATAAGGATTCAACTCCATTAGTAGAAATAAACATCTACGCAATTAATAGAAATCAAAAAAACGTTTTTCTTCTACCTGTTTTCAATCTAATTGATCAGAAAACACTACAGGCACAAGGTAAAGAATTAGCGAATATTCGAATCATATTATTATGCAATAATAATGGGGAAAAAAGGAACATGCAAAATTGAAAAAAAAAGGAATTCTACCGAGATCGAAATGATTATGTTTCGTTTTTCACATTGAAAATTAGCTAACTATGTTGAAAATTAAGGAATTTCTACGACGCAAGGATAGACTAGAGTTGTTCATGGTAATTTATTTTTAAGCGTGATGTCGCATATATTGAGGGTGTTGTTTTTCGCCATCATGTAGAGTAAGACCAACATCTTGCCATACATGTTTCAATGCATCAACTAATTGATCAATCATTTCACTTGTATGATAAGGCGTTGGTGCAATACGTAAACGTTCCGTGCCTCGTTCCACTGTTGGATAATTGATTGATTGAATATAAATTGAATAGCGATCAAGTAAATGATTACATAAAAGTGAAGCTAATGCCGCATCACCTACCTAAATTACCATTCAAAAAACAAAACAACAAATAATTACTTTACGATTGAGAGAATAGTTTTTCTTTCATACATGTATTGGAATAATATGGCTTGGCGCTCTAATAACTGGAAGTCCAGCATCAATCAATTTCGATCGTAGTTCGCGAACGTTTTCCTGTTGTTTGCGACGTAATGCACGACCTTCATCGCTCTTTGAAATCTAAAAGAAATAATTATTCGGAATATTTGTCCGTGTCATTGTGAAAACTCCTCGACCTCAATAGCTGCTAAAGCACTAGCTAAAACTGTTGGTGGCATCGATGTTGTAAATATAAAACCTGAGCCATAGCTTCGAATAAAGTCAATCATTTTGGCGCTACCAGCGATATAACCACCAATACTACCAAAGGTTTTACCTATAAGAACAAAGAAAAAAGAAAAAGATAAATTTTTGATTTTCTTAGAATTCGAGAAAAATAACTATTAACTAACCAAGTGTGCCCGAGATAATATCCATTTTATGAAGAACATTATCACGTTCACCAATGCCTGCTCCATTATGACCATATAAACCAACAGCATGTACTTCATCGATGAATGTTATTGAACCATACTGATGAGCAACATCAAGCATTGCTTCCAAATTACAAATTGAACCTATTTCAAAAATATAATAAAAATATTTCCTATAGAAAAATTTCTCTTTATATATTTTACCATCCATAGAATGAACTGTTTCAAAGGCAACAATTTTCGGTATATGTAGCGGAAGTTTCTTTAACAATTCTTCCAAATGTTGAATATCATTATGGCGAAATACATGTTTCGGTACTTGACTAGTACAGATACCTTGAATCATTGATGCATGATTACCACTATCCGATAAAATATGGCACTTAGGTAAACTTTTAGCCAAGGTAAATAATGTTGTATCGTTCGCAACATAGCATGATGTAAATATAAGAGCTGATTCTTTTTGATGGAGATGTGCCAATTCGTTTTCGAGTTTTTCGTGTAATGGACTTGTACCTGATATATTGCGAGTACCACCAGAACCAGAGCCATGCAGAGTAACTGCATTACTAATAAGAAAAACAAAAATATTAAATAATTTAAAATTCGATTAGCAAATTCTTATTACGTGTAATGCATAAAAAAATTTATTCATAGAAAAATAATAGGCTTTCATATTCCTATTTATTTTTTAATGAAAATTTTTTTTTATGAAACTACAATCCCTAGGGCAGTTAGTTTTTACTTACATCACTGCTTTTTTCAGTTTAGGATGTTGACCTAAGCCAAGATAATCATTGCTACACCAAACAGTGATTGTACGTGAATCCTTATCGTCGTCTAAATTTTTCCGTTCTTCAGCCTGTGGAAAAAAGCCACTTTTTCTTTGTACCCGTTTGAATATTCGATAGGAATTGTCGCTTTTTTTTGCTTCTATCTTTTGATCAAAAAAATGATCATATTCAAATAAATTTATATTGGTAGCCATTGGATGAATTAATTTTTCTATGCATATATAGAAAGAAGAACTTAAAAATGAATAGGAAGAAAAATATTACCTAATTTTCGATTAGTTGTAATCGTACGATGATCATGGTTGAAGCGACGAAGTGCAATAGGTGTTTGTTTTAAAAATGGACATGAAAGATCTTCACATTCAGTTGAAACGATAACTTTTAATAAGATAAAAATGTATATTAAAAAAATGAAACAAATTGTTTTATTCTTACTTTCACCATACGGGCTTGATGTCTTGTTGCGTGCTGTTGATAGTGTTTCAATGTTCTCTGCTGTTTTCCTTTCTTGCATTCTTTCATGAACAGCCTTGATATCATCAAAATTCACTAAAGCTGATGATAGATTTAATGATGCTGCATTGTTAAGGCCAGTTGTCGATATTTTTCGCACAAATTGACCAAATATTGGACACGAGACAGCACCAGTATTAAGAATATTTGGAGCTGATGCTCGAACTTGTTGTAAAGTTAATTGCGCCAAATAAGGGCATTTCAAAGCAGGCATGACCATTTTTGTTTTTGGATGAATAGAAATGAGTGCGAATCTATAATGGAAAAATATGACTCAATTTGCTGTTTTTTTTAAAGATCCAAATATATATATATATATATATATATGTATATTTGTATGCATTTTTCTTTTTTGAAGAAAACAAGTTGTAGCAGAATATTGACAGAAAGCAGAACTAATTATAAATGACTGTGCACCTTTTTCTGTCTTGTTTGCATGACAAAATCTTTTTTCTTCTTTTTCTTGTCGTGCCTTCTCTACCTACGACTTCCTTTTCTCTTTGCAACATCGTCTCATACATACAAGAAGAAAAGAAAAGGAAAATGCATAAAAGAATTCCAAGAAAAATCTTTTCTTTTTAAGCCGGATCTACGCATGATGAGAAAAATTTTTCATCTACTTTATGAAAAATAAAAATATCTCACTTAAACAAAAGAAAAAGAAGCTTAGCTTAAACGCATCCCTCGGTGCAAAATATAATACATCTAGATGATTAAACTGATGAAAAAGAAAAAACGCCACGGCTAAATAAACTTTGATATTGAACTAATTATAGGACAAGAAAAAGAGCAACAGTGCAAAAAAAGGAAGACAAAGTCCAAAGAATCGACGTGCGAAGAATATAAATATATATTCCATGTAAAGGAATAAGATAAAACAGGTGTCTACTAATCTAAATCGAACATAAAATGAAATTCTAAATAAGGAAAAAAGCCAGATGTACTTCTGTTTTCTATTAACGATTCAGCACGAATAGAAGCAATCGAATATTCTGGTCATGCTTTTATCAAGGTTTATATTAGGGATCAAAAGGTAAAAATAAAAAATGAGTCAGAGCGCTAAAACCCCGAAAAGTCCATATTGAAAAAAAGTCAATTTCTACCAATTGTCAAAAATCTTATTTTTTTTGCTGAAAATATTCAACCGCAAGGATAATAAGTAATATGTATTCAAGAGCGAATAAAAAGCACTAAATAAACCTTTATATCTGAAATAAACATGCAACTAGATGGTGCTGATTGTTGCAGCTCGGAATAAATGAATATGACTGGCTGAATATTTTTCTGTATTGAATTGTCGCTGACATTCGAATTTGGTCGTCATAAAATAATAAAGGATCCATGATGTCTCATCAATCAGGAATTGCTGGTAAATAAAAATTATTAGTCGTTTACTTTATTCTTATTTTATTATATTTGTCATTCAGCAAGTAAATCATTGCGTGAGAAATTTGCTGAAATGAAAGATGGGCATCTTCGTGTGGTCGTTGTCGGGATTGCAAATGGTTTGAATTTCTCACTCTATTCAAAATATTTAAAAAAAGACATGAAATGTTCTTGTTTTCTATCTAGAACAAATTGTTTGGAAAGATGAGCACAATGCAGAAAAAACATTTGATCAGGGTATCAGATAATAAGAAATAAAGATAATGATCAGATTCCATTATGTTATTCTTTGCCTTTGAAAGATTTCGATAAAATGCTTCTACCATTAGTTCAAAAGAATCATGCTGCTTATTATTTTATTCGACTTGATACAATTAGCGAAACAAATGGACACAATTGGCTATTAATAACTTATATACCAGATGAAGCTCAAGTAGAACAATGAAATATATTCAAAAAAAAAAGATTTAATTTTCATTTTAAAATTTAGACACGCGAGAGAATGTTATATGCATCGACACTTAGTACAGTTAAAAAAGAATTCGGTTTAACATATGTTGCTCAAGAAATTCGAGTGTCATCAAAAGTAACTTTGTCAAAAATAGAAAGAAATGGGTACAATTTTTTGTTTGTTTTAATAGGATGAAATGACTCTTCATTCGTTTTATCAACATTTAAATGCTAAAGCAGCAGCACCACCACGAACAATGCGTGAAGAAGAGATGCTAGAAATTCATCAACGAGAAGTAAAATAAATTCTTTTTTAATGAATAGAAACTATAGAGCTGTTTCAAACTATAAACAGCCATGTTGTTCAAAACAAAATGTAATCTATATTAAAACAGCTACTTGTTATCATATATGTCAAACTTCAAGCTTGAATTCAATTGAAAATTGAAATTTTCAACTTTTAAACCAACAGCATTCTGAAGAATCGTGACTCACACATATATCGCTATGAGTTGAAAGTTGAAATTTTCTATTTTCAACTGGATTCAAGTTTCAAGTTTGACCCTACTGCTTGATATATGATTATATTCTAACTATAATATTTCATTTAAAAAGCAAAAAGTCAAAATAAATCTTTCAATGATTACATAAACAAAAGAAATAATATAGGTTAGCAAACCGGGTAGTCGTGAGGGCTTTTATAACCTCGAGAGTCGACGAGTAATACTTTCGTCAGATGGTTGCATAATGTAACCATATAAAATAATTGGTTTACTATATACTAGATTTTTGTTATTTGATCGTCAGATGTCAGCGTAACTAACACTATCTCATTATTCTCTGTTTACAATACAAGCGTCTTGACAATACGACTATTCGTAGATCATCGTGTAGTTGGCAAGATCCTTAAAAATTATTTATTTTCAGGCTCATGCAGACATTAGTGTGAATACACGTCAACCAACTTTGCAAGGATTAAAATTTCCATTCGATGAAAATGTTATTGAAGCAATACATTTATTCAAAAAACATCAGGTCGATTATATACAATTGGTAAACCTAACAAATATTTTTCTTTCGTATTTATGAAATAGAAAAACTCTATTGTTCTAGGATATAGATCATGAAAAAGAATTAATACTCCTATCTCATTCGGAAGCTCATGCAACACTAGAACATATTGGCAAACATTTACCAAGTCATGAAGGAAGATATCATCTGTATAGATTTAAACATTTATTCAATCACAAAGCTCATGATTCAATTCGTAATATTTTTAATGCAAAAAAACATTTTATGTTTACTTTTTTTTTGCTTTTAGTTTTTCTCTATTCTGTACCGGGACACAGTTCACGAGTTAAAGAACGTATGATTTATGCTAGCTGTAAAGAAAGTGTTATTGATAATATCGAAAGTAAATTTGGTCTTACTTTTGATAAAAAAGTAAGAGTATATTTACTGTCGTTTTCTGTTTTATATAATTTATATATTTAGTTGGAAATTGGTGATGCATCTGATTTTACGATGGAATATCTCATGCAAGAACTTCATCCAGAAGTAGCAGCAAATGCGGCAGCATCATCATCATTTGCTAAACCAAAAGCGCCATCTACACGTGGGCCACGACGATTAGTAAAAGCAACTGATAGTTCAGATGATTGAAAAAAAGATTTTTCCTTTTGTGATAATTCTATCTGCTTTGTGTATTTTTTCTATATGACTAACATAGTTAGATAATATTTACATAGATACTAGTGACGATACATTTGTAACATATTCCATTATCAAAGTGGGTGGCATTATGATTTGATTAAGAATTCAGAATAAAAAAAAATCAAATCAAATCAAATCTATTGAAATAATTCTTAGCAAAACAAAGAAAATAAAGTGAATGCAAAGCCCGAAGCTTATACTGATCTCTAGTTTAATAGTTTAGAGGTTTTATAAAAATTTCGTATAGCTATCAATTAGTCGAACCATGAAACTTATTAAAACGTCAATATTAATCAAACATAAACATATGCGATAATAATCTAGATTGTAATGATTATCGAGTCAATCACACGAATAATAAAAATGTTTTTCATCTTACAAAAAATATCTAATATTTATATTCTGTTGTGCTTGTGAAGAATAGATATGAATTGATATCGCTGAGAAACTTAATTCTATACACGTGTCGTATATGACGGAGAAGAACGCATTTTAGCAACAATTTTCCGTAATCTTATAGATTCTATCGCAGAGTAAGATGGAATAGCTAAACTTTCAATCCACAGGGGTCATAAAATGTTGCCTTCTGAATGTTTCATAATTATTAATAATTTACATTTTAGTTTTATCGATTGAATTCTACAAGTCGCTATTTTCTTTATAAAAACATCGTTTTCACCAAATAGATATTTACATCCAGAGAATATTTCGAATTATATCTAGATATTGACGAAGAAAAAATTCGCAACTACGCCCTATTCTTTATATCTGTAATATGAACAGAGTGTTTCGTTTTTTTCTTCTTCTAATTGAAAATGTATTCACAGAAACATAGGACATAAATGAATACCTTGACTAAAAATCAATTATAAATATCGATATATTTTTGCAATTTTTTCTGAATCTATACTAGCAAACTTCGAGAAATAAATCAAGTTCGAAACTAAGAACAGGTAAGGAAAGGTGAAAACTTTTTTCTATCAGATTTGTGAGGCCCTTGTATCGGATGATCTCATAATGGATAGTTTTCTATTAAGAAACAGAGAATATTCTAGTGCCCATTATTTAATCTAATAATTAGATTGTGTAATTCAAGAGTTTTTGGTACTCACGAAGAATAAAAATCAGGAAGATATTGTTTTTATTTAGATAGAAATAATTTCTTACCGCAAAATCATCATTTGTAATTAATTTGAATATATAAATCAACGTTCATGTTTTAGCATAACTGAAATAGGAGATGATTTCATATGTTGCGATCATTTGTTTTTCTTCGAATATAAACTCACATCGATACTATCTTCATCCACTTTCTTGTTTGCTTATCTATTAGTATGTGGATCTATTTTCTTATCTCATAAATAGGCACGATGCTTCATTAACTTTGAATTTCAAGAAAATTTCCTTTTTGCTAAAAGCAGGAAATGATCTCTATCCAATTCACCTTGATCGTATGATAGCTTTCTGATAAGATTCGTGGAAAAAATCTAAAAACGTAGATCTAAACAATTTGTGATTGGATTATTTAATGGTACACTCAATCTGTGTTCAACATCAATGTTTATTCGTTCGAAGTTTATGTGATGAAACTGCTGGCTAAATTAGACTTAAGAAACTAGCATAATATAATTCGATAATAGAAAGACAAGGGGAAGAGTTGTATCTACAACTAAAGAAAATTCACTCGACGTAGATTGCTTCTTTTTCAATTAGTGTTATTTCCTAGAATTGTTTTTTTTTTAACAACAGTTTGACTTTTGTTCTTCAATTTTTAATTAAAACTGAAACATAATGTCGTTCCGCATGACAACAAAAAGGTATTTCTCTCAGAGTGCTTCGGCTGAATGGGCATAGCAAGAAATATGAGAAAATTTTCATTCGATACATCACATCATTTATTGCATAGCATATTTCCTTTATTTTAGTACATAGTTCTAACAAAAATATTGCACGCTTCATCACTGAGCAACAGGACAGGGTACTCTCAGAGAGAAATGGATCAATGCGAACGATTGTCCCTTTTTAACATATACCTATAGTTGCTAGTATAGAAGTTTGAAATAGTGACGTAAGCAGCAGGTCGACAGAGCGACGGGAGAGATTGACATGACCGAGCTTCTTCGGGCGGAGAAAGTATGATAGAGTTTAACTGGCTTTGTTTTCATCGTTCGAAAGATTCAGGTCTATTGTGATTATATTTCTTTTGTTTGAAACTTATCAAGTTCTATGTAACAGATACATAGATCTATTTGATAATGGAAAAGGCGCCTTGTATTATATGATATTGACTCTTGACCAACTCTTTCTATTTCGACGTTCATCAAATTCGAATGTTTGTTGTGTCTTTTCTTCCTTTAATCTACTGTGTGCAAACGCGAAAATCGTTCTCCTTGCATCTTTTTCGCTCGAAAATTTCTAATAAACTTTTAATTGAGCATACATATGTGAAATTTGTATTACTATCGTCAGATAAAAGTTGAGGTATTGCATAATACATCAATAGTTTGTAATATAATCTTGATTCTTTATTTTCGTTCTACACGTCGCTGGTCCATGTATTCTTTTTTGTATGTTCATTTTTATATCTTTTCTTTTGAGCATACACTTTGACGTATCATGTAACTAGAGATTCATGATAGTTCTCGAATAGACAACTATTTGATTAGTACTTTCTCTTTCATATAATGTCAAATATGTTTGCTCCTCTTTTCTTTCAAAAAAAAACCCCCTGAAAACATTATCAACTGCATTCTTGTCTAGCATCAAAGATGTCCAAATATTATGTGGATTCATTGAATTCGAGATCATTGTCTATTCGTTTATAAGAAAATTATGTTCAGGTTCGAAACTTGCGAAGCATTATGCTATATTACGCATCTAATTTGTTTTATCTTATCAATGCGACAGATCTTCTTTATGATGTAGTATCTGCGCCACAAAACTCTAACAGAGATCGTAAAAAACATTATCACGAGGTATGATTGCATTCTATACTGTTTACTTCAGTTTCAGCCTGAAATATATGAGTAGAGTTTTATATATTCTAATCTTTTTTTTTTATGGAATTATCTCCGTAGAAAAATCATATAAAATAGATTTACTCGGAACACTTGACGAAAATATTTCTGATGCAAAACCGATAAGAACATCGAACCATTATTGTTTGTTTTTGCATGTTGTTACTCTCTATCGAAAAGAATTTCTAGTACTGAGAAAACACGATCCTACAATCATAGATAAGGAGTGGCCTGAAACTTTTAGCATCACTCAGGGTCAGTACCTGTCCTGTGCCATGGCAAATATTTGAAAAAAAATGACCAAACTTTCATGTCTAAGTCCTTCAAAGAAATGACTTTTCTTCAGTATCTCTAGTGCTACTTATAGGAGAGATAAGTTTGTATCGAAGCTCGTTTTCTTGTTCTTAGAATATAAAAAATTCATATTTTTTTCTTTCTAAATGAAATATACGACGATTAATTTTGATCACAATTACAATTATAAGCGTTATTTTTTTCTCGTCATTGATCACTAACTATTCTAGTCGATTAATTCGATTTTCTTATCATTGTGGGTGTTAAAAAAAGAAAGAATTCACAATCCATCTGGAAATCGTGTCTTAAGGTAATATGTTCTTTGGTTTTATTCTTGTTATATTTCGATAATCGACATTAATTACATAGGATTAATAGAACAAGAGATATAAGAGATTAAGAATAATATTTATCTAATAATAAGACAAAAACTAAATAATCAAAGTTCGAGTATTTTGACATTTGTAATAAAAGAGCATTGGTAATATTTTCGTGGTGAAGTTTTAAAGATTTTGGATTATCCTTAAATGTAATTTTGTAGGTCTCATTTATTTCAAAGGGCATTTTTATTTCTCTGAAAATCAGAATAATGGATTATTTTAAATCAATTTTCCTCTTAATACAATTTATATTCGTAAAGAAAAGGCTGTTAGTTCAATTCTTATGAGATTAGAATATGTAACAAGATTGATCGACTGTCATTGTAGATCAAATGCGTCTGTAGAATATGTTTCAGTTTGTTACCTCTAACGTGCTAATATGTCCTTGATAAAATAAATTATTCATAGAACGTTACATCGAGTTTAGAAGAGAAATCAAAGGCAGAACTCCGTGATTCAACTTCCTTACATCATAATCTCACATCACGCTTTCAATCTACGATTATATCTGTCATAGAATTTATCACGTATCGGGAAGATCCAAGTTTCTTCGCTTAGACACCATCATTACTTGCTAGTCATGTTTCATAATCAGTCATGAACCAATCAAAGTTAAATAATCATCATAGCAAAAGAATATTTACTGATTTGAAAGAAGCTACATTCAATTTCTATGAAAACCTTGACTTGGATTTTTATTCCTATCGATTATGATTTCTTATAGAAATTCTATGACAAGAAATGAATATATCAAAAATGTTAGAGATTCACAAGTGACAATTAAGAGAAAATGAATATTAGTAATTACATTAATAATGACATACTTTGAAATAGAAGTATACTATAAAACAAAAGAAAATGTTTGAAAATTTCTTTGCAAAACGAAAAAGAAATGCATTAGTGACAGATTGATTTGACGAGAGATTTAAATCATAAATCAAAATTCAAGTTATATGCTTACCTCATATTTCAGAGCAGTAATCCTCATATGAATGTATATATTTTTCTCGTTTGACTGTCATCATGGGAGGAGCAAAAAACTATATATATATACTATGTATGTTCAATCATCAAAAATACTCAGTTACGACACATGTGATGATATATGATTGCTTTCAATTTGGATGAGATTTATTTCTCATAAATATAAACGTATGATAGTGATAAAAGACGTGTACATAAATACATATACATATTCGATTACATTTTCTTTCTCTCTCCCATTCTCCGTTTGTGATACATATAAAAAAAACACATCATTACATGACAATAAGAGTTACAGATAGACGGATTCAATGTTTACATACATGTATTGTTAGTAATGTCACATCGCTTTTTTTTTATCCTTTTCTTTATTTTTGTTTATTTGCATTGATTGAGGATGAAGATATCTTTGTTTTTTCTTGATACATTCATTTAACATTGATGACTAGCGTTTTTTTTTTGGCTAATTTCTGAATACGTAAGTTACTTTTTTTTCTTGTGGTATAGGAGCGATTAGACGGCAGAGAAATGTGTGTTTTGAGAGAACGAGAATGACACTGACAAAAGAGAAAAATTGTGTTCGAAAGAACAGAAAGTTCACCAAAACGCTAGTGCTTGATCATTTCTTCTTCTTCTTCTTCTCCTCATTCTCCTCATTCTCATTCTTATTCTTGTTCTAGCCGCAACTAGAACACATACGGAGACATCAGAAACTAATGAACAATGCTGTTTCCATCCACGCAACCACCACACATACCATCATCAACTGCTGATTCACAATACGATACAACAACAGGTTATTCATCATCGTCTTATACACGATGGCCACGATCACTTGGTAAATCTTCTACTGCAACTAGGACTAGTACTTCTACATCAGGTCGACGTCATCAGTATCCAAACGAACAACATTCAGATATTTTACATTATCAACATACGCGAGCGCAACCACCTATCTATTCAGAACTCAGTCCGCGGCGATCACTAATAAATAATATTTTACCGTAAGTAAATTTCTCTCTTATGTTTGTCAAGCGGAAAAAAGAAAATATCCATGAAGCATTCATAAATAAATCAAATTTTTTGCTTTATTTTTCCACATCATTCGTCTGTATGAAACAACTCCAATTTCGTATAATCAGTAGAAGAAAAAAAGAAACTGTGTCATTTTGCATACATCTAGATCGATATCTATAAAGCAAAAGTCATAAATGCCTTATATAAAAATAGCTGAATAATAAAAAAAAAACATTTTTTCAAAGAAATTCTGCTTAATTGATAATCAATAGTGCAGTATGAATTCTTACTTAATTGAGATAAGATTTATCGAAGAATGATGTTCTTCTCCGTTTCTATCTCTTTTTTCTTGACGTTCTGTCTTCTTCTACTTCTTTTTTTTTGCCTACGATTAATCGTCGTTGTACCATCTTTTTCTCTTTCGGTTTCTTTTTTGCACCAGCTTTTCTTTCTATTCTGTTTATCTCTTGCCTATTGCCGCAATATTGATAAGGCCATTGCTAGAAGCAAACTAAATACAATATATCGGTCTTCTTTTAGTACTCGAATACAACAATCGATTGCGCCTCTTGATTTTGTCGACACATACGAAATCGATCGGGTAGGATTTACACAAAAATCTGTAATTGAGTAAATATGCTTAAAGTAATCAGTTCGGATGTTCTAGCTATTTCACCTGTGTTAATCAATCTACTTGTTCACTTTGCGTAGATTCTTTTTTTCGTCGGTCGTTTTTCTTTTCTTTTTCTTTCGTCAGTCAATCATGATAGCATTTCTAATTTCTATCAAGGTATCTTGTTCGGAGTCTTGTCTCTATTTTCCTCATATACTCTACCGACTTTTTTTCATTTCATCAGAACGTATGATATAATTTAAAAAAATATCACGTCGGGCTTGTTCGTTTGTTTGCACTTTATTTTATCACCTGCTGGTACTCTCAACTAGTAGCATTTTTCTTTGGCATAAATAAAACTTTTGAAGGTTCTTTTCTCTTTACATTTACATACATACATACATACAAGTACATATATTAGAAAGCGAAAAATAGGTGACAAGACAGTTATTTGTCATCGATTTTCGTTTATACTCTTCCACGCTATTCAACGGAATAGAATTTAGAAAATATTGATATATAAAGTATTCAACTCATCGACGATATTATTATGGTATCGGAACAAATTTCGTTTCGTGCAAAATTAAAAAGTAATAAACGACGTTCATTTTCGAATGATGATATATTAGTCGAGTAAGATATTATATACTTTTCGTTCAACTTGCATGATGTTTTTTGCTACATCTTTATTGTTATAATCGTATTTTTTTTGAAGATTCTCGATGAATGCGAAGTATGATGTGTAATTAAAATTGAAGATGACTTCAGTCAAGGATATTCTATTTTTTTCCTTTTCTTTTGTCTACACTATGAAGATATTATTGACATTGAAAAAACACAATTCATTCATTTCTGTGATGGATTAGTGTAGATAGAAAATTAATTACAGTGTACAATAAAAAGAACAACCATGACATTCATAATGGTTACACTTGAGAGGTCATTGCTCGTGCGCATGTGTATATTAAAGAGGAGAAATTCTCTTTAGTTTGATTCTCTTTCTCCTTCACATTTTACTTGTGGTTTCGTTTTGAAGCGGGAGAAAAAAGAAAGAAAAGACATTGTCCTCACCTTGCTGCCTCTTCGAGTATCAGTTCATATATATTCGCTCGCTCTCGTATTTACTAAGACAAGTACGTATATGAGAAAAGAAGTTTGAAAAGAAAAATACAGAAAGAAAGAATGAAAAGAAGGGAAGATGACGACGAAACGCGATTTTCTGTTGTTGAAATATAAAATCATCATCTGACCAGTTCATTTCTTCTTTTTTTCGTTTTCGTCGATATTCTTTCGCATATTCGCGCATACCATCGCTTCAAAGATGCTTCGCACCGATTACATGGACAACGACGATGACGACAGAAGCAAAAATTGTGCAGGCACATGTTCATATTAAATAACTCTCCCATCTCTTCAATCTGACTATCTTCATTTTCTTCTTCTTCTTCTTCTCTTTTCATACAGAAGAACACATACATAATAATACATCGCTCTAGTTCATTTTACATTTTCGAGTATACTGAGTTATTATATAAGAAAAGAAATATAAATAATGATTGCCGTACAAAGTTCCGATATTGATTCAATCGGTTTCTCAGATTATTGTTCGCAAACATTAACCGGTAGCAGGTAAAAATAAATACAACACAGGAGAAAAAGAGAGAAGAGAATTTGATATTGTTCAATGAGTTGCTCCAAGAAAATGAAATTATGATTTTCTTCATAATATGAAAAATACCTATTTACCTACATATATACGCACGCACATACACACACACACACACACACACACACACATATATATATGTATATATTAAAACTGATTTCATCATACGCTCAATTTGAAATACGCTTGTCATTTGCTTGTATAATTGAAGGTTTCATTAATCATAGGAAAACGATAGAAGAGAAATACTTTACAACATTTATATTTCTTTTTTTCTGTATCATACTCATTTTGTTCGTATTATTTTAAAGGATGTCGAATGGCGCTTCTAATGGAAATGCACGTCAACGTATACGTCATTCAAATTGGTCAAGTTTAGGTAGTCTAAACAGTTTTGGTGAATCGACCACAACACCACCATCGTCACAAGAGCACACGGGTAGTAGTGGAAGTAATACAAATGGTAGTGGACAACAACGTGAAACATTACATAGTCGATTTGATTTTAAACAAACATTAGGCAAAGGTACCTATGGAAAAGTTAAACTAGCACTAGATAAGCGTAAGAATGAACAAGTTGCAATAAAAACAATAAAAAAATCACGCATTGAAAATCCACATGATTTGGCGAGAATTCGACGTGAAATTGACTTCATGACAAGTCTTAATCATCCATATATTATAAAAATAAAAGAAGGTAATACAAAAGAAAACAAGCATGATTCTATATTTTCATTATATAATTCAATTTATTTCTATGTATTAGTTTATGAAAGTCGTGAAAAAATTATTCTTGTAATGGAATATGCAAGTGGTGGAGAATTATATGATTATCTCAATCGTATGAAACGGATTCCAGAATCTCAAGCACGGGCTATTTTTCGGCAAATAGTATCTGCAGTCCATTTTCTTCATAAAGTATTGAAGAAGAAATTTTTGTTTTTGAAATGAAATCATAAGATTTATTTATTCCTTTCTTTTTTGCTTTTAAATTATAGAATCAAATTGTTCATAGAGATCTTAAATTAGAAAATATTTTAATTGATCATAATGGTGATATCAAAGTAAATATTGATTCAATGAAAACTATCTTGTTATAGACAAGAGTATACTTATTTTATTTTCATTAGTTAGCTGATTTTGGTTTAAGTAATAGTTGGTCACCACGTCGACTATTGTATGTTGTCGTTAATTGATTTTTATCAATGTATATGATCTTCTAGTTTTAATTAGACATACATTTTGCGGATCTCCATTGTACGCATCACCAGAAATCGTTTCCGGTATTCCATATTATGGCCCTGAAGTATGTATTTTTATCGGATTTATTTCAAGATAAACAACAACAAAAAAAAATATTGTATATACAGGTTGATTGTTGGTCATTGGGTGTTTTACTCTATACACTTGTTTATGGTTCGATGCCATTTCAAGGTGGTGATTATACTCGACTCGTACGCAATATAACTTCAGGCGATTTTATTCAACCTCGTGAACAATCAGGTAATAATCAGAGTTTGCCCGAAAAATTTAAGAGATAAAAAGCTATAATCTAAGAGAATTTTGGAGATCATTGTGTCCACCTGAGAAAAACATTTTTCACATTAAAAGAAATTTTTTAAAAATCGAAAAAAACCAAATCTATAGGCGCACTCGGACTGATACGTAAATGTTTGACGGTAATACCATCAAAGCGTTTTACTATCGATGACATTGCGACGCATTGGTGGGTGAATCTTGGCTATAAATATCCACCTGTTCATTATTATCTTACACCGGCGATGAAACAAAATGGAACGTTAGTGCCATCACATATACCAGCAATAACATATGATGAAACTGCAGTAAAAGATAATGATTCTCTGACGAAAAATATTAAATCATCAGCACCTGTTTATATTCAATCAGTACCGGTACAAAATGGTCGTAAGACAGATATTCAAATAAAATATAAACCAACAACAAATGGATATAATTCAACACCACGAACACAACGATTGAATAGCAAAAGCGAACAAACACCAAAAGCAAGTCGACGGACATCTAAAGAGCGACATTATGACGGTATCTCATCTAAACATCCGCTACGTACATAATAATCTAATAGAAAAATATTTACAAATAAGAATCTCAAATATTTTTGTTTTTGTTTTCTTCGTTTTTTTGTGTTATTTTTGTTTTCTTCTTCTTCCATTTCATCTATTTCTTTACCAAATCTGAGACTAATCAAACCCTATGCTTGAGCATGCGCGAAAAACTACGTTTATTTGGTGATGGATTGCTTATTTTTAACTTTTTTCTATTTTATTTCATTAATATCATAGGTGCACTTTCACTTATACAATATTGCTTGAAACCCGATGCTAATAATCGTGCTACAACAAAAGATATTCTTCGTCATAAATGGTTAGCAAATGGACCTGTTCTTTCTATACAATTACGTTCAGCAGCAGCAACATCAACATCATCCTATTCAAATAATGATCAAAACTCGTTAAATAATAACTATGATAAAACTCGTTTACGAACAGTCACACTTGAAAATTCAATATCACCATCAAATTCACTTGTTGAACTTGAACTTCATACGAGTTCATTTTTTGATACAGCTCGTTTACGTGATAATATATCAATCAATAAAGAACACCAACGACGAAATCGCGTTTCAGCTATACCGATTTCTACACGTTATCTTTCGTCGAATAACGGAAAAGCAGATGCAACTTTATTATCTCGTCCAACATATCGACGACCCGTAAGTTTATCTCTTGATCATCAACATCCAAATCATGAACCATTACAAATGCAGTCGGTTAATAATCGACATGCTCAACAAACAGTTCCATCAACATCAACGAGAGCAATACCATATGATAATAATAATGATCGATATCATACATTACAAGCAACAAATCAATTTGTTTCTCCAACGTCATCTGAATCAACGACAACAACTATGCCACCATCATCTTATCTTGCTTCAAGTGATTTAGATTTCGCACTAAATGATCTCAAATGTAAAACAATTTATAAATATACATCACCATCAACAAAAACTGAACATAATGTTACAACGAAACTTCCAAATTCAACAGCAACTGTTGCGCCATCCGTATTTACAACATCAGCTATTAAATTTGCTCCAGTACCTAATCGACGAATAAGTCCATTGAAAGATCAAGAAAATAATTCATCTAATAGCACAGCACGTCTATTGAATAATACTGCTTCTAATCCGTCTCATAGTATTGATGATAGTATTAATAATACTTTTACTACTAATAATAATAATATTGAACAACACTCATCATTAACTAAACTTGATTCACCAACATCGTATAGTACACAAAAAAATCGTTTACTAGATGATAACAACAATTTAGTTTCATTAAAAGTATACGAGTAGTAATTATCTTTCTTGTTTTCTTGTTTGGCTTGTTTTTTTTTTGTTGTTTTATTCTTACAGTTATTTCTGTGATAAAGTGTGACATTTTTGTTTTATTCGCAAAAGACAACAACAGTAGTAGACGTTTATATAGGATTTTTGCTGTGTACATCTACCTGTACTGTGCTTCTTATGATGGATCTCTTCCTATTCCTGTCTATTTCAATAACAGTTTTTGTGTGCTCATTCTTTTTTTTCTTCTTCAGATTGTACAAAAAACAAATACTGCTGCTATGAAAATATTTATTTGTGTGTGTCTGTGTCTGTGTGTATGTTCAAAGTTTGATTCTCATTTTTTTTTTGTCTTCTTTTGTATAATGAGAGGGTGAGACAGAGAGAGAAGGTGTAGACCTTGAAGTAAACATAATAGAACAATTGTCTCATGTTGTCTGTACTCCTTTCACTTCAATACTTTGGTTTAACATTGATAACAAGGTCAAGTTTATTATTGTAAAAAGAGAAAAAAATTCAAGGTGACTTAATTTTTTACGGTCTTGAAAGATAAAACGCGGGAAAAAGACGATAGAAACAATTGATTAAATCTATTAACGATGAATCGACTGAAATCATTTTGATGATTTAGATTATTTTATATATATATATATCTATGTACTATTTCAGGATATGATGAGAAACAGGCAAGATTTTTATTTGATTGATTCACTAGGACATGAACAAACCTTTCACTGGATTATTTCAAGGATATATATGATTTTTGTTAATATGAGCACGATAATTGAGGTTCATTATTTTGTCAAATCAATTATATTTTTCTTCTGCTGCTGAATACCTAGTCCTGTTTGAATGTTCGCTCAGAGAATATGCGTTTTAAACTATGAAGCAATTTTTGTATTTAAGACGATTGAAAAGTTTTTTTTTGAAGAATTAAGAAGCTATAAATCAAAAGAATTTATGCAAATAAAAATATTGTGCAATTATTTATTACTCCGGAAATGTGTTTTCATAGAAAATTATTCGTTGAAAACAATTGCATTTACTCCGAAACATAGATTGTGTTTTGATAGAGATCGAATAATTAGATTTCCTACTAGGAAAAACAGGAGGGGACGTTTTGAATTTGTCAAAAATCAAAGAATTGACGAAAAAGAAAATAGAATTTATACTGATAAATTTAAAAAACAACAACAAATATCTAAACATGTAAAAATAATAGTTTATGTCCGTAGGAAAATGAGTAACAATCTATTTTGTACACTATTATTCATCTAGTCCTTAAGAAAATAGATTGTTGCTCAAATTAGTCATCATCTATGTTGTGTAGACTAACATACTATGATCAAAGGAACTATAAAAATGAAATTCTAAATTAATTTTACCTTAGAAAAAGATAATATCATATCTATTAGGACCAGCAAATTATTCACTTTCATTCTTTGATCTAGTTGATGCCCTATCACTTAATGACCATTGATAATAGTGAAAGGTATTCATCATTCATCGTTAAAAATACTATACCATATTATGATTAATGCACCCAATGTGTTTAACAAGCTGAGATCGTTGTCGGTGACATGAATTTGTAAATGTCATGCTCTAATTACTATTGTCAGGGCCATATATGTTGAACCATAGAGAAATCCAAATCGGTATTCCTTGATCGACGTATCCTGCTGTTGTAACTATTTACATTGCGCAAATCGACGTCATCAACTGACAGACCAAACAGGCTAATGTAAATTATTCGTATGCACGATCATTAATATATAATCGTATGTCCAGATTTTGAAATCATTCTGTTGATTTTTATTCGAATAGAAAAGATTAAGATCAATATTCATACACACCTGCGTTATCTAGTTACTTGAAAAGAAGAATCTAATCTGTGTACAATATTCAAGCGAACACATCAATTCATAAACAGAGTTATTACTTGTGAGGAGAAAGTGAATTATTGTTCTCCTCGCGAATTCTAGGAAAATTTATTTATCAATTATAGATTGAAACTTTTTAAAGATATATAATTTAACGTTGTTTGATTCTTTCATCATCTGTAATAAATAGTTTGGTTATGATGCAACATAGGAATTTTTTTAACGAAAGTTTTGCGTCATTGCTGTATTGGAAAATAAGTATAACGAAAAGACTGTAAATCATCTACACAAACTGCATTCTTTTACCAAAACATATTGTAAAAATTTTGAATTGGCTGTAGAAACAAGCGAAGAATTGAATTCTTTTGAAATTATAATTTAGATGATACACATCGACTCCAATAAAAACAGCAGATTGATAATTTCGACTTTGGCAAGAAATCTTTTCTTTTTGGTCGAATAGATTGAAGCAACGGATATTAATTCGGAGAATATTTCGAATCAAAGCTTTGCATCAAATCAGATCCTGAATTTCATCCACCCAAACATTGAAACCACCAAAGAACGCTATATAGACTCTAATTCTATCACAGCACATATGCTCGACTCAGTTTTCATCTTTAAATATCGCTGACATAAAAAAGATTTCACAATAACCTAAACCAGAAATGAGCGCAGCAGAAGATTTTCTGCCATGTACTACTTGCTACTTTGGCCCTGACGATTGGTAGAACAGGATAAAAATCACAATACTCTCTCTATGGTTCACTCCGAAAGGTTTTCTTATCAAGGATTTGTGTTGTTCAGAATGCACAAGAAAATATTTCAATGAATGTTTGTTATCATATTTTTCTTCTTTCTTCTTGTCGATAAACAACAATACAGGCGCGTGAACAAAATCGATAGTAACAAAAAAGATTACACACAAAGAAAAGAGAAAAAGATTTGAACAGCGAATTCACACTAACAACATTAAATCAAGAGAGACATCTTTCTGCATTTCAGTTGTTATTCTTCTATAGAGAATCTACTAAAAACTGTTCCCGTAAAAAAGAAAAGAAAATTTCAACACAAATACAGACACAAAAAAAAGAACAATTGAATATGTACGTACATGAAAAAATGATCAACATGCCAATGCTTAGATTGATTTTGCATATAATAACGTTTTGTTTTCTTTGAAAAAATGACGTGCGCGTAATAAAGAAATTTCATATATACAGCGTAGAATATATTTTTTTTTCAAACAAAAAGAGGAAATCACTGCATCCGACGTCAAAAAAAAAGAAAACGAATACAACACCGAGCAAGTTGAGAATACAGTATGTACGTACGAAATGAGAAAGTAGACAAAATGAAAACATAGCATGACATATACAAAATAATCTATGATTTGTTTTTGTTTGTCGCGTCGATTTGTTTAGCAAAATCAAACCATCGACCTGAACTGACAAGTTAAGATTATAAAGGGAAAAAAACAAATAAAGAAACACAATATGTGTTTTTCTAGGATATTTATACATGTACATAAATAAGTTTTTATTCTTTTTTTTATTGTAATAATGCATTCTATTCTTTATATTTTTAATCAGTAAATAGATTATTGAATTAGGAATTAATCACACAACTTGCACACGTTGAAGACGTTGGGTTAATTTTTCTGATAAAGGCGAGTCCGATGTTGATAGTCGAAATAAGAGAAATAAGCCGACTTTGTCAGCTGATGCTATCCAACCATGTGTACCTGGATTTGGATTAAATCGAATCTAAGAAGAAAAAAATGTTTTCAATACGTGAAATTCTTAGTTATTTTGTGTTTGCCTTACTTTTCTATATGTATGCACTTTATGAGTTTCATCATGTTGAGAATCAATGTTACCACTTGCATATTCCTGAAAAAGAAATCGTGATAATAAAGTAACTTTACACGGCGTATATTTAATTATACGAATATGTTTCTATGCGCGAGAGAATGAATTAGAAATTTCAAATCCATTTATATAAACTAGCGCGCACATTGTCAAAACGGAATGATAATTAGCAGAAGATTTGCTTTGAAGTAGTCGTATAGTATCATGAAAAATAGTGTCGCTCGCTTAGCCTTTTTGTGAAAATTTTGTATTCTTGGTAACTCGAATAGTTGTATTTTTCATATTTATTATTTAGAAAAAAAAACATGACTGATACGAAACTTTGAAATTTCTCGATCTCAATCAAACTTAACGCCCAATTTTTGAATTGAAACCTTTTAGTGCGTAACTAAGTTTACTAGTTCTAATTATGGCCGTAACGAATTCGATCTTATATCGATTTTGAGAAAACTTAAAAAGAGCTAGATAGTTACCGTTCGCTCAATAGTAATCTGAACACAATATTGTCCTGTTGGAACCACCGCTTGACCTTGATTATATTCTTAAACAAAAGAGAAAAAATTTCAGTTTTTTTTCTTCAAACCAATAAATATGAATTCTTACGCTGCATAGCTACAGGATCTGTAAGATTTCCAGCTTGTGCACCACCGACACCCGTTAAATAAGTCGATAATTTTGCCACACACTAAAATTTATAACAATCAAATTAGTCCAAGTTTCACTAAACTTAACAATTCATATATTAGTTTTTATCAATTTCGCTTTACTATATGAAAATACTTGACATGAAAAATCTATCATCGACGATAATCAGTTTTACTGTGTCCAGTGAACTGGTGGGTTTTCTTAATATGATCATGCGTCAATCTACTGTGAAATTAAGTAGAAGTATCCTGGCGTTAATGATTCTTTCCCTGGAATTTCAATCGATCCCTCGACGTGTGCCAGTATTATTATTAGCTTTGGAATTATAAGTGTAACTGACAAATATGTTTGTTGCGCACATCTATCAAATCAGAAACAGATCTAAAGAAAACTCAGCATCACAAACATTGAGTATTTCCAGCAGTTCGAGTTTAACCATCTTATACTTTTAGCGTAAATAATACGATATCCGTAGAAAATCAGAATAATATTAAACATCGTCCTTGGTATCTTTTATATAATCGTGTTTATTCACATAGAAATCAGTAACTCTATCATTTAAAGCATTAAAATATTTTCAAATAGATTAGACGTTTTCCTCACTAAAAACTCA